AACAAGCATCGCCGTCTCGCTTGGCTGATATCCAACATCGGTTCCTAAGTATGGAGTAGACTCTAGGTCCAGATTCCTAGGCTTGCTCTTCAGTTGATTGCGCCACATCTGGCTTCGGCACGTTCCAACAAATTCTCGGAACGGTTGATTTGGCCCTTTGAAAGTAACAAGGGCATGAGCCTATAAGATTGTGCCTTGCCGTTACTGCGTTTGAGCAACGACAGGGATATTATACAAGGGCGGCAGGGATATCCCTGTCAATCGGTATTGAACAAACACATACGGAGTAAGCCAATTTTATTACTACCGCTACAAGCCGAATTTTTGTTACCCCCCGCCCCCCAGTCAAAATATCTTACAAATGTGTTTTTTACATAACGTACCTGACCCAGAAGTGCAACAGGCCCGTTGCGCTTCTGGGTCAGGTACGTTACCCGCCCTGTCAGCATCCCTGTCGCTATTTTAAACGAATTTTGCACGAATTTTGCTCATCCTTCAAATTCTGCTCATTCTACTCCGTACGCATTCTACCAGTTCTACATAGATATCAATGAGCCTAATGATAGGACGATGTATGAGCGGCTGTTAGTACTGTATAGGGTGTTGTACCTTCTGATTATCTTCAAAGCCGCTCAGGTGATGCGGGCGAGATGTCAAGCAGTTACAGATGCCAATGGAATGTAAAAACTTGATCCCAGAGACTAGTATTATTTAGGCTATCGTGCTGGTGTCTATACTCAATTCTACATAGTACGTTTTGTACAGATACTAATGTTTTCAGTGGGGTACAAAAATTCGGGCTGCAGCTGTAGTAGAGGATTTCTGGGCACTCTATCCTTATTACGGTAAGAAGCTGATACGTGGCGTTGTAACTTTACAAGTTGCCTCTAGCACTATACTAGGGATGATTATGCCTCCCACGTAGTAGAAAGCGTACGTAGTACATTTGGACGTTCTAAGCCATGGACCTCGTATCACAAAAGTACTGCAGAAGAAGGTGATACGTAGTACAGATCTGTCACTTAGTGGGGCCTTGGCGCCAATGAGAGGTACTTCCTCCGAACTTTGTATTTTAGATTTCGAGACATATCCACCACCAAGCTGAGACTTTGACTGATTCTGCCCCAACTTGCATGCTTAGTGTATTGGGGGCTGGGGACGGAAGGGGGCGTTGCTCCGATGACCCTGATCAATTTCCTTGTGTAGACCACTTGGTACGCCGGAGAGAGGGACTAATTCTCAAGCTTGTTCCAAAGCCATTGTCGGTGATTAGGCTCGGGTCAGATCTGCAACGTGTGAGAACCTTGAATATGCAGTTGTCTCAGTGCCTCATTCACCCCAACACAGCTTTCCTCTCAAACGAGACGACTCATCCTCTGATGCAGTTTTTCCATGTTCTTGACAATCAGCCTTTGAAGCAGTGTTTTTTCGAACCATGGCAGGCTTCACAACTTTCACATACACAGGGACTGTGAACCTGCCTACGCCCAAAGCTTTCAATACTGGGGATTTTGTACCAGGGTCTCTCTCTATTGAGGGTATACAGAATTCTATTGCTTTTGGAGCAACGACCTCAGTGTCAACTCTGCTCACAACAAATTTAGCAGTGTTGACAGCGAGTTTTTCCGTAGAGCAGGGCCAACTTCCCACAACTACTCCAATTAGGATTGCCACTGCTCTGGGATCGTTCTGGATACCACCGTATGAGGTGTCTGGCACGCAAATTCCTATCGTGAATTTGACATCGGGTTCAACACAGCCCAGCTCAACACAGCCCAGCTCAGCACAGTCGAGTACCGGAGAAGGGGTGACGTCCACAACAGGACCGCAGAGCCTAACACCAACGAACTCTACGCGCGCAAACCCTTCGAACAGTACGAGGCCAACTTCAACCTCCCGCACAGACACGCCCCAGCCTGAGCAGGAAAGGTATGGTGTGGGTCACCTTGTGGGTACAGCTGTGGGCTGCCTCATTGGAGGTGCACTCCTCGCCGCTGCGGCATTGTTTTTGTTCATGCGTCGAAGATGGCGTAATCGCAATGACTTATCGGAACCTGTGAGGGAGAAATCTGCTCTCAACGGCCATGGCAGAGCGGTTTATGTTGCGGGCAGTAAGGCGTGGGAATGCCACCTGCCGCAGTCCGAGTCTGACGGGACGATCCGGGCCATGGCAGAGCGAACTCTGGACCAGATCGAGATGCACGTCGAGAATTTCTACAAAGACACCGCTAATGTGCATATTGGACCTGAGGTGCAGTCAAAAATCACGGAACTCGATTCGCGTCATCTTCCAGGTCCAGTCCTGAGTCTGCTGCCACAGTCAAATCGGCCGACCGTCTTGATCAAACATTGCATCGGCAATTTGGTCATTTCGAGGATTGCGGCTGCTGAGGCCACCGCTCACTCGTTCCTCCCAAAGGATTTCCACACTCCTAAGAGTTCATCCACAGTGCAGAGCAAACCAGGTAGGATAAATGGCGTCGAAAAGCTACTTACATACATCATGCTGATATTTCCTGGCAGCCTTCACCCAAGCTCTGTCTAGCTGGCGGGTTCTCACCGCATATCTGAGCGTAGAACCGGAGCATGACCAGGCATACCATGAGGAACGTGATCAATCAATCGCCCATGCCGCGCAGCAGGTATATCAAGCTTTCGGGCCATGGGCTCGCAACACGGACACGGAGAAAACCCGTTCTCAGAATTTGGTTGGCATCATGAAACGCGCCAGCGAACTTGGGACTACGTTGTTCTCCCAGCCTTCTACTTTCGAATGGCAATGGCAACGGCATGCCCAAGGTAGAGAAGTTCCCGTCAGCCACGATTCGACCAAGATTGTCGTGTTGCCAGGGCTGTACAAAACTAGCGACCAGAGTGCACAGGAGATCGCACCCCCCATGTGTGTAATCGAGCCAAGGTTTGGCGCCTTTTAGTGGACTGCAGGGGGACTTTGTGTAGTAGCCATTGGCTCGGTACTACGTACGGCGGCACTGAGCTGCTGCTAATAGTTAGTAATTAACTAGTTATGTGGCTCCTGGTTTCTGGGGCGATCCAGCCTCAGTCCCTTTGACATCTCTCGCCTAGCGTAGAATGATATCAATTTGAAACATGTTAAGTGGGCGCTGGAGACTGTGTTTGCAACTCTATTATGTAGTGCAGCATTACTGTGAAGGTTAATACTATGTGCGTACCACAGGGGGAGGCATAATTATTTCTAATATAGTGCCAAAAGCAACTTGAAAAAGTTATAACGTTACGTATCGACTTCTTCTTGCTATGATATGTAGTAGAGATAAAGTGCCTAGAAATCGCCTAATAAAGGTTAAACCATACATCAATTCAATACTAAGTGACAGGAAATCGTACAAGGGCGGCAGGGATATGTGTATTAAGAGTGTTCAAGGTGGGGAATACTAGCGCCGTGCTAAGGATACTTCTGCCAGATACCGTAGTAGGCGTAGTAGGAGTACTACGGTAGGAGGCATAATTGATCGTAGCATGGCGCTAGTAGCAGCTAGTTCGGATACAGCGCCACCTCAGTGTCTAGAAGCTTGTTAGACGATTATGGTATCAATTGGCCACAGTAATACCGCTTAACCGTTCAAAGCTTAGCTGTCTCGTTTGAAGTCTGTTTTAGTGCAAATATACTAGGGCCGTGCTACGAATACTTCAGCCAGGTACCGTAGTAGGTTGGTTTGGGCGTGTGCGGCACAGCAGCCCCTCAAGTAACACAATCCCTAACCGTTGCTGATCTTCGCCCTCCTTCCGCGGGACCCCTCGCATAATTCACTTACTAGGGGTATCCGTACTCTGAATCCAAATACAGCCCCCATGCTAATCAAATCGATTTACAAAGTACAGCATGGTCTCGGCTAACTTTCCGCATCATGCCACCCACGCAGCTCTCCTCGGTTGGTGATTGTCCAACTCAGCCACGCACGAGCTAGTGCATCCTCAAGGCATTCAGCTACCACCTATCCATGCACGACACAAAGCGCATTGATCCATGTCAAGGCGATCGAGTACAACGTGACAAGATGAATTGGTTTTCTGCAAAGTCTCTCTCGCCATTGATGGCCCAAAGGCCACCAAATATGCGTTACGAAATTTGTGCCAGCAGTGAAGAATCAAAAGTGCTGCTCGAAACAACACAGGACGTCAACGAGCAGATATATATGGTTCGGAAATTAAGGCGACAGCGCTCTGCAAACCTGACCCCGTCGGAGAAGACTTGGATAGACAGTGCAATTGAAAACACCAGCAATGCCGTCAGTGGCATCACTCATTTCGTGGAGCCGGTGCCGGAAAGTCCACCTGCCGGGCGTCAATGGATGCCGGGTCCTTCATTCTTGCAACAGCTAAAATACCTTATCAAGGACTCTCCTCAACTTTCGGCCCAACTCGTCCGGTTGTCGGTGGCAGCTCAGTTGCTCAGTACAGCGATGAGTGTTCTCTCTGCCTGTGTAACTGTCACGTCTGAAGGTCAGGTGAGGTCCACGGGCGCTGGGACGAACACTGTCGACTCGTCCTGGAACGAGCTCAGCGAATTTATCCACCGGAGGCGATTCAACAGTACGCCTTCTCTTGCAGGTGATAAGCGGATACCTCCCGCCCATGGAGCTCAAAGCGGATCACCCCAATCATGGAACAATGTTCAACCTGAAGAGCGGAGTCCAACCGAGGATCAATGGTCCGAAAGTAGCCCTGCCGCTTCCGCCAGATCGTCAGGTTCAGCAACTTGCCAAACCCAAACAAGCAGTGATGGCTTGAAGGGCCCCATTGCAGTGTCACCACCAGTTCAGCCAGGGAGCCAAAAATGCACCACACGCTCCGCTGAGATGACTGATCGTTATGATATGGATCACGGCCTAACACTTATCATTGAGACAGTTGAGGAATGGCGACAGACAACTGAACGCGCACTCAATGATATCAATGCTCTCAGCCGGGCACTCACTTCGGGCATGATGGACCGTTCGATTTCGATACTACGTCGGACCCAGCCTCTGAGAACTCCTGAGGGTCAAGTCCCTTTTCAAAAGCCAGTGCCAGCGCGAACTTTATCTCCTCTACCTCCAAGACCAATCATAGAATTATCCTTGCGAAATAGCTTCGACAAAGAGTCTCTTCCCCACGACAACTACAAGACTCCCATCCCAGGCGCAAGTAAGTCTGAAGATACTTTGATGCACTCTGGCGCTTCTGTCTCAACACCGTCATTAGACAGGATTTCTTGTTCTTCTGAAAATACATCCCAAACATCCATTTCCACACTTTCATCCACGCCATATAGGATTTCAAGAGGACGTGCTTGGCTGGAAAGAAGAGCAGAATCCTTTGGAGCGGAAATGGATGAGACTTGCACACCTGAAAAATGAACTCAAGTTCCAGAGCAATCAATCAATCCTTCGTCTCAATCGATATGTCGTCTGATCTTTACGAAACCATTTGTCCTCTTGACATCTATGCAGAATTATGCGGTTAGAATCTCTACAATGCGATTTGGTTTCCGAGCAAGTACGAACCTTCAACCGAAGCTGGCATCTTATACCAGCCCTTGCCACATAAGACCTGCTAGGTAGTCACAAGGTGCACCAGTTTGAACGGAAACGGCACTAGAGGCGGCGGCATATCCGCAAAATAACTTGCTATGATTGATTCTGAGATTTGATTAAGTGATACCTGGGTATCTGGGTCAAAGAGATACACTATACGATGTAATGTTGAGGGTTCTAGGTAAATATCAGGTTTACATTCAAACTTTACTCAGCGACTGTACACAGACGTCTACAAGGGACCGATTTTAGGATCTTAAAATTCGAAACCGGGCGCCTTGCAAAAGGAGTGTTTGTAGTCTCTCGTACTCAATACGCTTCGTGCAAGATGAGACAAGCATCCCAGTCAAGCATCCCATACTATGTTCACCCGCGTGACCCTTTATCGTTGTGTTGACCCGCACAGCGTTCCAAATTGACGGATCCCTCCGATGCCGAATCAGTCCTCAATCTCTGGAACCGTGACTCGACTCCTCAGGTTGACCTCTCTGTCGCCTATACTTATGACATATTAGCTCCGCCATGATCGGGTCGGCGAGACGATGACGATCGTTAATCAGGGTTCTACGAAGTGTGGAAACGGCAGCAAGGAAAACAACCTCGCTACTCATACTACCAGCTTTGCACACCGTCAAATATTCTGGTTCCATGGTATTAGCACACCAAACTTGATCGAGCCTCACGTCCTCTTTTGGACCGACCGTTTCTAAGCATTTCCTTGCTGGCTCAACCTTCGCTCAGTCTCTGCTCACCCGGCACCGTCATAGCTCAGTTTTGATGTCCTCTGCTCACCCTCGTACTCAGACTCCATCCAAGTGCTGTTCAGCCTGCTCAATACGAGCGTCCTCGGAATCCAGGCTTGGAACGAGACCATGAAGTGTAGGGCGAGATGAATGACTGATTTGAGCCTTGCACTCTACGGTAGCCAGATGTCAGTGCTGGCGGCTTTTGAGACCCCGCTGCAGCTGCCCTGACGTCGAGAGAAGGCATCCATGTACGGCGGCAGACAGATTGAGGGCCGTGTATCTATGGAAGTCACACCGGCATCTTGAAAGGATGAAAAACACTGTTATTTGTGCTAGTTCTTCCTAACCCACTCGCTGTTAGATCGTTCGGTTCGTGGAATCAAACCGAAGATCAGTTAAGCGGAAAGGGAATGATATTGGAAAAATCTAGCTCAGGAAAGCAGATCGCCACGAGAAGATCAGATTAGGGAGAGACCTCCATCTGCATTGTTCGTCCTCGACTTCCCCATCCGACCCCTCGTCTGATGCACCCAAATGGGGGCTCGGGAAAGTTGTTGTTCTGGCGGTAGTGCCTTGGTCCAAATGGTGGAGGAATTACTAGATATGCCGTACACAGAATTTGGGGGGAGAAGGGACGCGGTCCTGCAATTGATTAAATGAGTAAGACCAAGCATTTCACGTCTACGGCGTTCTAACGTACTTATCCAGCATTAAAGCCATATGACGATGGCTACAAACCCAGAATTACAAACTGCGCTCCATATCTTGTCAGCCCATTTGCCTGCAGGTGCGATAGCACTTTTGAGTTTCAGGGCACTCATAAATGAGGCGTTACGACTGAATGTTCAGTTGTATAGTCCGCTTAGGTGGATTGCTTATGTTTGTCTCAAGTCTTACTAGAGATACTTATTCCGAATTAGATGACAATATCCAAAGATAATAACGACTATTTAAGTATTATCCACTCCGCGGGCAAGCAGGGGGTTGGAATGCCTCAATTAGCGCTGTCGATCTTATTGATTTGATCTTGCCACAAGTCTTGCATATCAACGTCTTTGCGCATCTTCTTCGAGAGAGGACATCATCAAGAGTAGGCTGGTCCAGATATTCTTAGATTATATATCCTAGATGCCTGCTTATTGAGAGATTGTTGTGAGAAGTTTTCCAGGCAAGTAACCTTATTTGAGCTTAATTTTTGTGATATATGCTAAGTAATTGAGGCATTGCCTGCGGGGTGGATACTAGTAGTAGTGTAGTACGAAGAATTGTTTCATAATCAATATCACCGCCCTCGGCCCGATAGAATTGTCAGTCAAGTGAATCAAGATCCTTGATCGACGCGTTCTTACTTTTTGCTATTGGCTAGGATGGTCAGTCCTTCTCACCGCCACAATATGGGCGCATACCATGCAGACAGATGCCAGCCCGGGAAGAGCAAAAGACACTTCCTCCTCATTCGTCATTTGAGCTTCTTGCCCCCAATTATTTTTCTTACTTGTTCTTGACAGACATCTACCCACCTCACAACTCTAGAATTGCTGCTACCAAAATCTCGAAAGGGCAGGGGAGGGAGGTAGATGGGAAGACGCTGTAATAACCCATCTATTACGCTATACGTCTATCTTGTGAATATTCTCGGCGTCGCGTACTGGGATATCTCTCAATCCAATGACCATAGTGGATATTAGAAGATACTTCTAAGCCATGGAAGTTGCGGGTCTCGCAGCCGGTGCTGTAAGTCTTGCAGGTCTCTTCTCAGGTTGTGTCGATTGCTTTGCTCTCATCCAAGCTGGTCGTGCTCATGGACGGGACCTCGAGATTCTGGTCACCAAGCTCGATGTCGAAAAGACACGCCTCTTACAATGGGGTGATGCAGTCGGCTTGCTAAGCACAGATCCGAAAAATCGAAATGCATTACTTGACACAGACCATACGCGACCTGTGATCGAAAGAGTGCTCCAATGTATTTTCATGCTTCTGACAGATGGGGAGAAATTACGCTCAAGATACGGTATGCTTGAAGACAAGCAAGGAGCGGAATCGAACAACATACCCATAGAGTCGACCATGGTCAGTCGATCAAGACTATCTGCCTTTAGGGCTGCGTATGCCAACTTTCGCAATCGAATTACTTTACAACAGAGAAATGCAAACCACTTGGCCAAAGTAAAGTGGGCCATCCGGGACCGTGAAGGCTTTAGCAATTTGACGCGGGATCTCCATGATTTCATCGACAACCTACGAGATCTTGTTCCCGTAGCACCCATACTTACTCGACTGCTGGTGAAAGAAGACATGGACAGTCTACCAGACGACCTTGGAATGCTTCGACTTGTGGATGAAGCATGTAGGGGAAGAGGGGATGAATGGTCCGATGCAGCGACTTCCCGACTTCAAAATACCGAAATTGCCTCAGAGGATGCTCAACGGATTATGGAATGGAGACAAGACATACAGAGAGGAGATGGATTGACTAGAACTTCGCCAGCAGACACGGTTGGATCCATGGCAGCTAGCCCGGGTCAGGAAATGCTGCCAAGAGCAGGCAAGCAATCCGTCGACGGAGATGCTCAGCCAGAAACTGCGGGCTGGTTCCCACATCAGAATCGATTAGAGACGAAATCATTGTTGAGCGCTGATTCTTCGTTAGGATCTACACTCTCACACGCACACAGGAAATCAATGTGGGTGCTACATGATGATGCACTCGAAAGACATCTCCATGAAAATGGGATACACCTGAAGTATCAGAGTCTTTTGGATGATGATTGTATAAAGCCGAACAACATAACGTACATCAAGCGGCAATTGACTAAAGAACAACTCGGCCTTCCTTCCTTTCAAGACTTCAAACACTTCAAGCAATTAGAAAGTCGAGAAATCGGAGTGGATGCCAGATTGAACATGACGATTCAATTCCTAGTTGGCGACAGGACGCCAAGAGATATAAAAGCTGTGTCATCGCTAACAAGTCATACTTTTACATCCATTGAACCTCTTACAGATGGGAGAATCCCCACTCCAACGCCGGATTTCTGCTATGGTGCCAGTATCAGCCAACTTAATATTCATGCAACAAAAGAGCTCAGCCGCCATATTCTGCCCTCTAGATCCATGAATTGCCCGATCGCGCCGAATTTCTTCCTAGAAGTGGCCAGCAACCATAGGGATACTGCAGAACTCGGAATGACAGCGTGCTATCATGGTGTCGTAGGTGCCCGCGGCATCCTCGGTCTTCAGTGTTATGGTGAATCTGAGTATATCTTTGACGGCTGCGCATACACCCTTAGTGCAACGATGGATGACACGACCCTGAAAATATATGCCATTTGGCCAACTGCACCATCATCCCCTCAGATTCACGATTACCAAAATCGAGCGGACTTCCACGAGGCATTAGCAGGCGTTTGGCTCATGACTTATTCTGTACAGTGTTATTATGAGGGCTTGACTGCGTTGCGGAATGCGATACGGTTGACTGAAGAATGGAGAAGAATATTTATTCAGAACGCGAATGCCAAGTATGAAACAAGGGTAAAGCACTGATGCAATGACATTCAAAGATCAAAGATCGGATGCAGTCCGAAAGAAGGACCAACGGAAGAAGAAGCATGGAAGCGATCAAGGAGGGAGCAATAACGAACAGCGAGGACCAAACCCTGCCAGAGGCCAGCACTTACGAAGATTGAGGCATCAGCCTGGCACGGGCTATAGGGGATTGCCTACCGCTGTCAACTGTGCCCCGTAGCAAGGCATGTGCACAAACATGTTCCAGGTACGCATGCGTGGTAGTGGACTATTCACAGGCTCATCCACAATCTTTACACGGCTCGCTCGCGGTTGGTTGCTGGTCTACTCACCGGAGGATGTTCCTCCGTGAGTGACTTTCATGCACAACGGGTCTCGCGCGGCGCCCCTCGTACGACATGACAGTACAATGAGAAAGTATTGCTCGCAAACAAGACAACAAGATCACACTGTTCGCGCTGGTATCAATGCGCTCTCCCCGCCTACCTACCGCTGGTCACTTGTTAAGGGAGGGAGGACCAATGGAGCTGCAGCCAGTCTTCACCATTTCCACCTCAGCGAGTGCAGAGCGGACCATTCATTCCCCCGGGGGACTACCTGCAAGCCGTGGTCCAGACGAGCGGCCCTGATCACAACGTTCGATCTACCGGCATCTGGCTGAGAGGGAGTCTCCCATTTCGTGATTGACAAAGAAGAAATGGTTAGCAGTCTGAGGGTATATACAGTGAGCAGCAGCTTCAAACACAATTCTCTTTCTTTGTAGAAAAGAAATACATGTAACGACTGCAGAATTGGAAGTGCCCCCGATTCCACAACATACAGGTATAGGTATAACAGACACTGCTCTCTCCGTTCCAAACTCAGACCTCATCAATACAGAGAGCCCATCCAATTCAGCTGGTCAAGCCAAAAAAAATTCCCATACTCTTCATTGTTTTTATGCCTCAAGTCCAAACCTGGACCGAAAAAAGGAGCCTCCTAAAAAATCCATCTATCAAGACCGCCACACAATCAGGGCCCAGAAAAGATTGGCCCCCCAGCTGAGGGATCTCCATCCTTTCTTTCTTGACTGATCGAATCCGATCTGACCCTAAAAATTCTCCTTCCCCCACACAAAGTTAAACCCCGGCTCCGAGTACATATTACATTTGACATGCAGCTGACTGCCCAAGACTTTCGGACCGCAGAAGAACACGCCCGCTTCGGCCGGCGAGTGGATCTTGCGGATGGAGCGAAAGACCATGTCCCAGTTTGGACGGCCGAAGTTTGTGGGTGCGCGGAGTCCCGTGATGGCGTCGCGGTCCGAGTTGACGTCGTTGATCATGATGTTGGTGGCGTCGTCGGGTTTGATTTTCGCGGTGAGGTACTATTTCCATCGCTGGTTAGCAGGGGATGGAGGGGCGCTTGGGGGGGGGTTGAGGGTGAACAGGGACGGTTCAGGCTTACGGTATGAATCTCGATATGATTCTGCAGATCTTGTGCTTCGATGGCTAGTAAAAGAGAGCGAAACCACTCAAACGACCCGAAATCGCGACAGACCCAAAAGAAGTAGACTTTCCGCAATCGCGTCTTCTTCTGCGGGTAGTTGAGCCGATACCAGATGCTCTTCAGAATACTGGCGAACGGCGTAACCCCGATGCCTGCACCGACTAGGACTGCGACTTCGTATTTGAAGACGTCTTCGGAGGCTGAGCCGAAAGGACCGTCGATGTAGACTCGCGGCAAGACTTTGCGGATCGTGGGATCGATGTCGTTTTCTTTGGCGCCGTCGTGGACACCAACGACTTCGGAGCCGATTCCCTGTTTCTTGTCGTGGCCGGAAGAGCGCTCGAAGTTGCAGCCTAGTGCTTTGGCGAGGGCTTTGGTGAAGTCGCCGACACAGCGGACGTGGACGGAGATGTAGTCTTCCTCTGGGGCGGAGGTTAGGGTGAAGGGGTGATATTGCCAGATCGATACCTCCGGGCAGCAGAGGAAGATATATTGGCCTGCCCTAGTTTTGGTCTTTTCTTTCTTGATCTGGATCTCGCATACATTACTGGGATGTTGGACGACTTTGCTGACGAAGGTCTTGTGTCTGCCGCGCACTTCACGGAGGATGCGCTCCGCAAGATAGATGAATCCACTATACATCCACCATTGGTAAAAAACGCCGGTTCCAGCACAAAAGGGGGCGCTATCAGTCTTGATCATGCAGAATGCACCGTGCACGGACCAGAAAACGAAGAACACTATGAAGAGGTGGTGCAGATACCAAAAGCGTTCGAAGTTTGCCCGACGAGGCCTCTCAATCGAAGTGGCAAATATTATCATCAATGCTATTAGCATAATGTACCCGGACCAGCCAGGACCAGTGAGAAAATTGGCGGCAAGAAAGCCTTTGAACCCGAGTTTGTTCTTTGCGGCGAGCTGGGCAAAGTTGTTCCAGTGGGCTATTGTATGGACCCAGGTGAAGAAGACAATAGAATATGCTACAAGTTTGTGAAAGGTGATGTTCTTATCTATATGCTTGTCAGGACGTGGCAGGCGTGGCAGGCATGACATGAAGGAGGACTCGTACCAAATTGTATAATGCCATTGAGAGGCGTTTGTCTCGCCAGCGAGATGAGTGTGCGGCATACAGCTAGGATCGTCAACGTGAGTCAAGAAGAAGTATGCAGGTACGTACGAAGTATGAGAAGTGCAATATCGAAGTGCAGCACTAAGGCGGCAGAGCGCGCAATAACAAAGGTCGTACCAAAGGTGGTTCTCGCAGTTGTCAAGTTGTCCTTGAGGTCGAAGTTCAAAAATGCGAAAGCAAAAATCATGAGATGCACAAGAACAAAGACGACAACGAAAAGTCGTCTATAGCCTTCATTTACCATCCAGACGTCAAATCTCTCCTTCAGTGTAAACTCCCGAGGCGGCTCTCCACTCATCTCGCCAGACATCAACAATCTTGTCAGAGGAGGCCATCTCACCCTCTCCGATTCCGTTGCCATCGAGACGGACGCCCTTCCGTCGGAAAAGGTTGAGTATCTCTCGAGATCCTGGGCCATCTTGTTGCTTAGGTATTTCTGTCTTAAGTCCCTCCAAAGCCTAACAATGTAGGGTAATAGCGGGAGTTTATGCGAAGACTCGATCCGGCCACGAATGTTCGGAAAGAGATAAAGTATTGGTCGACAGGTAGATTCTTGCACTGCATCAGCCAGCAACTTGAGGCAGCTACGCCCGCTTACCGGCTGCTGCCTGGAACAAGAGCGCAAGTCAAGTAAAAGACAGGATCGAAGGCAGAGCACAAAGAGAAACCAAGAGACGCGGTACAAAAGGAGAATAGGGGAGCTGGACAAGCCGGCCTGCGACAAGAATTAGATGGCTAACAAAGTAATTGTCTCTCCTTGCGGAATAAAGGTATCAACTAGATAGACTCTGGTCGATTCGATACTTCTGGACATTGTTCTGCACCAAGAAAGGCGATGATGGTGGAGTAAGATTTGCCATGCATCATGATGTCCCGGTTTCAGAGCGATGGCACTTTTGTTGCTGCTCCACACGCACACGGGCGCGCAAGATTGCGCTCATAGTCAACCTATTATTGCACAGACCGTGTTCCAGATTCAGACAGCATGCGGCGAAATGGATTGGTTGGTGTAGGAGGCATTGTGCCCACCCGGGCGCCTCGTGTGTCAGACGAGTGCTTCAGAAGTTGGAGATGCTGTGTTGTTTTTGACGCGAAACGACTGTCGCCTCTATCCTCTGTCCAATGTCCGATGTCCGATGTAAGCCTCGGCGGGATTCAAGTGCCAAGACATCACCAAGGCTGTAGAACTTCTTGAAGCTCGCAATTGTACTGACAAAGAGGGGTACGATACCAATGGCTGGAGGCATCCTATATTCCCCCGGTTGCTGCCGTACAGACGATCAATACAGAGGTGGTCGCTTTTGGCGTTGGGCCTTACGAAACAGCATGGCAACGAAAGATGGCCCAAACTCACATAATCAACTACATCGAAGGGTGCTTTGACGATATGATGTGACACATGATATTAACAAAGCAGGAGGGTTGAGGGGGCCACGTGGAGGCCGAAGCATATTTGGGCTTCAATGAGCCAGCCGCAGAACAGAAAGCTGAGTACTATTCGCCCAAACGCACTGCCATGAGAAGATATGCAGCATAAAGTGACTAAGGAAGCGGTACGGGTTGACACATTAACCACATCTGGGAAATAGCCATGACCCCATACGAGAGACACATGAATGCTCGAAAGAGATCCCTCCACGGTGTAAGTCCTTCCATTCTTTGACGTCTAAAGTCGGAGATCGTCCTTCCGCTCATCCATTGATAACCATCAAGTATCTACCCTTTGGCACCATTTAAGTTGCATATTTCCTTGTCCATTCTCTGGCAGTCTCCTCGTATTTGCTTCTGTTGGTTTTGTACACGTGCGCTATCTCCGGCACCAGCGGGTCATCCGGGTTGGGGTCGGTAAGCATAGAGCAGATCGATAGCAAGACTAGACTTGTCAGTCTCATCGACGTGGTCTCTTGGATAGATAGATTACCTTTTGATATGGTCAAAGCTGGACTCCACTGGTCTCGTAGTATGTCCAGACAGATGCTGCCGTTAGAGTTGATGTTGGGATGGTAGATTCGGGTGGTGAAGTTGACTTTGGGGGGTTTGAAAGGATAGTCGGTTGGGAAGTGGATAGCCAGGAAGAAGAGACCGCCTTGGAATGGGCTGTCACCCTGTGCGATCGCCATGTCAGCGTTGCTTTCGACCGTTGCCGCTGTATGGAGAAGAGGAGCATCGCGAAAAGCCCCATCAGAGACAGAAACTTCAAGTATCATTGAGGGAATAGGGATGCCTTACTGGACCCATAATGGTTGCTTGCCAGTGGAACTGTTTCACAATCTATTAATCAAATATCCCCAACAATGGACGGCGTCTGTGGAAACGAGGAGCAAGCTCGTTCCCAGCATCGCACCTAGGCTTACCAGATCTTCTCCTTGTGGACCAGCAGAGCAGGAAGAGGGTGGGTCACTGTCGTCGAGACCGCGTCAGCCACTTCAGTCAAAGAATCCTCCAGCCTTATCGAATGCATGAATTTGCCCCTCTCTTCGTTGCCAGATGACAAATTCCACCAATAGAGGGAGTACAGAGTCGTGAATTTGCTCACCGGCCGAGATCGGTAAGTTCTTTGTTGATTCGCTTGAGAGCCATCTTGATGAGAGAAGTTGAACCAGGAGTGATGGGTCGAAGGTGCTTTCACTGGCGGGCAGGGCTGAAATGGCTGTGATCGAGGTGCAGACGTCAGCGACAATACTTCAGAAGCAGTCTGTCAGGATACATGAGACATACAGCAAGATAGTCTCTATTCGTGAGGTGGTCTGAGAGTAGGGTGTATGCAGATGTGTAAAGGTTTTATGTTGGTCGTGGTTGGAGAGTGAGAGGACGACTGCGGCTGCGTGAGGAAGACCAGGTAACGGTGAATCAGTTCGTTGCAAGTGAATCGAAAGGGCGCTAACTGGTGGTAGTCAGAGCGGCTACTACGCTACTACGTAAGGACAGTGGGAGGCAAGCGCATTTGCTACTTGTGTTTGGTGTCTCGCCACCATCTATGCATTACTACTACTACGTACAAAATTTTACATGTTCATTATGCAACACTGATCTACTACTGACCACTGCCTGATTCAGCACTACCAGAAGCTTCTAGTCCTTGTCAACGTGTAAGACAGCTTTGCGTGACCACTAACCTAAAATGTACAGGCGCTTTAGGCGGCTTAAGCGAACCTCCCCTGGTCTTTGCTTGCGTTTACTTGCGTGCTTGCATTTACTTGCGTGCTTACATTTACTTGTGTGCTTGCATTACAGATGCACATCACCCTGCTATCTCTGACTCGCACTGGAGGCGATCATGAAATACGGTGGATCGTCTCATGAGGTGAATGGTATCCCGTACAATTGAGATAAATGGCTGTTGGCTTGGTATGGGCATATCCGGAAGAAAGACAAAAGATAAGATGTGAACAGGGTCAGTTCGAAGTGTCTCTATCAAGCAGTCCCATAACAGGCAAGGAGGCTCAAAGAATGGGACAACTTTCAGGCGAACGCCTGGATACCGGTGATGGCTCGGCCAAGTATTAGACCTAGGGTCATGGATTAGCATCTAAGTCAAATTCAGGCGAAGGGCTGCTCAGCTTACTATGTATATCACTCTGGCCTTCATAAGTTTGAGTGACAAACAGGTTTGCGACATGCCTTCCAATATGATACTCATCGCTTACAGCATTACCTCCGAATACCTCTTGCAAGCTAGAGCATGGTCAACAAGGGGCTGGGTTCCAAGCAGGGATCGCAGACGCCTTACGTTCGGGCATTGACCAGAGCTCTGTCACAGTTCTGTCTCTTGATCATCGATATCATTTCTGGAGCTGCCTGGCCTTGGTCTTTGAGCCTGCCGACCTGGGTGGCTGCCAGGATCCCATAAGCTGCATCAGTCACGGCGTCAGAAAGCTTTTTCTGCACCAGCTGATACTTGGCAATGGGATTGTTTTTGAACTGTCTCCTCTCTAGGGCGTATGCTCTGGCTCTACTGATACAGTCCTCGAGGGCCCCCATCGTTCCAAAGGCGATACCGAACCGAGCAGAGTTGAGACAGCTGAAAGGGCCCCTTAGCCCCTCCACGTTGGGAAACATGTTCTCCTTCGGCACAGGGCATTCGTCAAGCTGGATCATGCCTGTAATGGAGGCGCGAAGGCCATTTTTGTTCTTCAAGGGTGGAGCCTCTAGTGCTCCAGGCGGACATTGATCCTTCTCTATCAGAAAACCACGTATCTTACCTGTCTCCTGCAGCTTCGCCCATACCAAAAACAGATCAGCGATGGGTGAATTTGTGATCCATGTCTTAGCTCCTGATATCGACAGGTACCCTTCCTTCGATGTATGTGGTTTTGCCGTCGTCTCCATAGATCCAGGATCTGAGCCATGATTTGGCTCGGTGAGTCCAAAGCAGCCAATCATTTTACCCTGCCTCAGGGGCTCCAAGTATTTGTCCTTCTGCTCCTGCGTCCCAAACTCATCGATTCCTCCCATGACAAGAGAGCTCTGCACGGACATGCCTGATCTGTAACCAGAGTCTACCCTCTCGACTTCTCTTGTAATAAGCCCTGATGCAACACTGCTGACGCCTGCACATCCATGACCTTTTATAGTGGCGCCTAAAAGCCCAAGCTCTCCCATCTCTTTTAGAATATCTTTGTCGTAATGTTCATCACGATACGCATCTTTATGCCATGGTATTAGCCAGGTATTTCGTCGAACTTGTAAGTGCTTTACCCAGTACCCGCGGCAGCATTCGCTCCTGGCAGTAAGAATGTGCTGTTTCTTGTATTGCAAGCTCGTCCTCAGTGAAAAGGCTCGCTGCATTGAGGGGATCCTCCCAATTGAAGGCTGCAGGCGCGTGAGCATATCTTCGTCCCGCATCTAGGCACTTTCTTCTGGAGGCAAGATGCCTACAGGTACGCCATACAATTGTTCTGTTCATCTTATTTATCAAAACATCCAAAATTAAGAACACAGCAGTTTTGAAGCAGGATGTATGATTATAGTATTGGAACTGTGACACCTGGAAACATATACCATTCACTGAGAAAGATGGAAGAGACCGAGGCACGTTCACCCCACATTCTCATTGAGACAGTTGGAGGGACTCGGACAATCCGGATTAGCCACAGATCACATTCCGACAAGTCCGGATCACTATCCGAAGTGCTCATTACAACCCCCAATCATCGGCCTAACGATGTCTCAGACACAAGAACGATGCTTGACCCCGGCTACACTTACAACATCAGTGCGGCTCCCGATGGCTCCATAGAGACTTACCTAAAGATGTGCATGAGCTTTTAATGCCAAGCTTTTTGGGACACGCTCCTGACCCCAGATGCGCGTCACAGCGCAAAGTGCCTGCTGTGCCACAATTCCGGATCCCGTCCATACTCCGTACTGGACTGAATATCAGCTCTGACCACAACTCGTTGCAAGAATGGGTATCAAACGTAGGTCTCGAATAGCCGTTGAACACTGTTGCAGTTAGCGGAATAACTGACGTTTATCAAGAACTGGCTAAAGTCATTCAAGAAGAAGCTCCAGATGCTATCAAGGCAGGCGAGATCAAGAACCAATTTGGCCGGAAGGTCGCAATCGTGGGTGTCAGCCTACCTCTCACTTCTGAATTACTCTGACTTGTCTTCAGGACGCGTAGGGCGAAACTTCATACCTACCTCCTTGCGCTTACTTTCTATAGATCTATGAGCATTTACTCATTCCTAATTGCAGTCCGTTCCGATGGCCAGCAACTGATGTCTGAGACAGGCGAGACGACCTCGCACTTGCTTGGCATGTTTTACCGTACCCTTCGAATGGTCGATAATGGCATCAAGCCCCTCTACGTCTTCGATGGAGCACCACCGAAATTGAAGTCGGGAGAACTTGCGAAACGATTTGCGCGGAAGCACGAAGCATCTGAAGCTCACGATGAAGCAAAGGAAACTGGCACAGCTGAGGAAGTTGAGAAATTCTCGAGAAGAACAGTCAGAGTCACAAAAGATCACAATGACGAGTGTAAGAAGCTACTGAAGCTCATGGGCATACCTTTTATCGATGCTCCAACTGAGGCAGAGGCCCAATGCGCAGTTTTGGCACGGGCTGGGAAAGTGTATGCTGCTGCCTCTGAAGACATGGACACACTGTGTTTCAACTCGCCGATATTGCTGAGACACCTTACGTACGCAGAGCAGCGGAAAGAACCTATTCAAGAAATCCACCTCGATCGAGTACTCGAAGGTTTAGGCATGGATCGGAAGCAGGCAAGACTCTTGGGCTCTTCAACCTTCCCCATGACTAAAATTGTGTAGTTTATTGACCTGTGCATCCTGCTTGGCTGCGATTACGTAGACCCAATCCCTAAAGTAGGACCAAATACCGCGCTCAAGCTGATCCGAGAACATGGATCCCTCGAGGAAGTGGTCTCGTCTATCGAGAAAGATCCCAAAAAGAAATACACTATACCGGCAGACTGGCCTTACAAAGAAGCACGTGAGCTGTTCTTCAACCCAGACGTACGGCCTGCAGACCACGAAGCCTGCAACTTCACATGGGATGGACCAGATGTTGAAGGCCTTGTAAAATTTCTTGTTGGAGAAAAAGGCTTCAGCGAAGACCGAGTCCGAAACGGTGCACAGAAGCTGCAGAAGAACGTCAAAACAGCCCAGCAAGCACGTCTGGAAGGCTTCTTCAAGCCGATGGCGAAGACGGACGAGCAGAAGGCGTCGCTAAAGAGAAAGCACGAGGAGAAACTAGCGGATCAGAAGAAAAAGAAGAAGGAGAACGAGAAGGCGAAAAAGGAGGCAAAAGCGAAGCCGAAGATGAATGCATAGTATGGAGAACGTGGAGTTTGGAAGGGGCGTTTCAATGGCCGAGGGGTGCCCATGGAGGCTTACTCAGGGAATGTTGCTATTTAGCAGGGCGTTCGGAGGTCAAGCCAAGACCACCACAACCGTACAACGGATTTTACTCGTGGATGCATATTCCGCAAAGGTTCGACCCTCTGCTGACGAGCATTAAGTGCATGCAAGGGACTATGCAAGTCTACCTTAGGCAGGATTGAATGGCAAGATGTCAAGGGTAGCACGGAGAACAGACTCGCTAAGGCAATCTGCTGCAAAGGCAATCTGCTGCATCAGAGTTCATGGCATGACAGTGTGCCCCGTGCATAGAGCAAGTAAAAGGCCGATCTGGTTATCCAGAGAAGCAAGAATACACGACAGCTGAATGAGCGGCTCAGTAGACGATGTGGATTCTTAAATATCGCGCGTAGGATTGTTGTTTATCTTCGCGGGCCAACAACCTATGCGTAGGCACTGTAAAGCAGCATCCGGCATGGCTTCCCAAAGAGGGAACCTGGTGTACCACAGAGCCGGCCTAGTCTCTGGAGGTTGGTGTCACTTAAGTTGTGGCCGAGATGAGTAATTTCCAGTCTACTAGTAGAATTCGGAGGCCGAGAAGTCCCATCTCAAAAAAGGGTGAAACGTGGCTTACAGCACAATGCCTCGAGAAACCCCAAGGATGTTTCTAATTTACGAGAGAGACCTCCGTATTGAAGGCTAATTTGGGCAACAGGCGTTGGTTTGCAACCCACTTTCTCCTTGAAAGTAGCATCCCCGGTCCGTGCAAGACCAATTTATCTTAGATTTTGCCATGTCTAGTGGATGATGAGCAGCAGTCTGAAAGCCGAGTGGGCAGGTCTGGAGCGATGATTTAGATCCCTAGAGGATATTGCAGTAGTAGAGGCGGTTCTGCTTCCTCTTGCGGCCGGCCACGATTCCATAGCATCAGCCTCGGCCCGCAACATGATCGAGAACTCAAGTTCGGCAGTCTTGGCAGCGCCCGAAGACTGCCAAGAACAAGCAGAGGCCAAGAACCACGGCTCCCATGATCAACTATCCAGATCCAGATGGCATTCCTCATGATCTCTTATCCACCACGCACTTTACGCTTTCAATTATAAATCGAAGAAGAGCATACATATACGATGATCACATCCGACGCAGATTCGATCTGCTAAAGAGGAGGGAGTGGTTCGGATCAGAAGCAAAACCCTTTGAGCACCTCAGGTCGCCAAGCAAAATCCCAACCTGGAAATTCGCTCCGAGCTAGAAATTGATCTTCACTGAAGACATGGCCGCCAGAGAATAGATGGACACCCTTGGAAGCGAAAAATGAACTCAGCCACTGGAGAGCTTTGCAACATGTTTGCAACAAAAGACATGGCAGAGATTACCAGCTACAGGAATACACCACTTGGAGCATGGCATGACTGACGGAGCACTTGATGAAACCTAAATCGCTCTGTCAGATCTAGCAAGATGCCTGGTAATTCTAGCTGAAGCGATTTGCTTTGCATCGTGATATGGAATACGCTGGGGTTGAGTTACTCTGCATCCGCCAGAACGCATTGTGAAAAGGCTTCAGCGAGAAACCCAGCCCCGGGAAGACCAATATCCATCCTCGATATCACTTCTTACAATAAAAGATATTTTAAGTCCCAATGCCAGTACAGCCGAAGACAGAGATGATTGATTTGCATCTCTCCGTTCAGACAACAATGCCCTTGCAGAATGGGGTATGTTGGTGGGTGGGATGCTGGGCGGGACAAGCGGATGGTGGTGAGGAAAAACGATTCATGTGATCAAAATAGTTCAAGCCAATGAGAATAGAGGGCAGGCCGCAGTAGCCTGACATTAGCAAGCGGAAGCAGCCCAAGATCAACTCGGACGTTAGCTCTAGTATAAACAGACACTCCCCACTTGTCTCTGCGCGCGTCCCATCCATCTATCCTCCTACGTCGCCACCTATATTCGAGTCCGCCATTGCCCGATCCTCATCGACTGCTATTCTAGTATCTTCCTACTCAGATTCGTGATCAACCCAGTCGAAAATGCCTGCAAAGAAAGCTGCCGCTCCTGCGCCTAAAAAGGCTGCTGCCACCCCCGCTCATGCCTCATACAAAGGTACGTCGCAACGCTTCCTCGTGCACAACGCTGTCGGAATGCTTTGGACGAAGCATTTTCTGGATCGCGTCTCACTGCTAATCTCACGCGATAGATATGATCAAGGAAGCGATACTCAATGTGAGTCAATTCTCCTTGCGCCAAGGCGCTTCGATTGGGCCACTCTTAAGGACGACTGCCCCCATTACCATCAACATGCCATCGTTCAATGCGGTGTAGATCCAAGACAAATAGTGGGACATGTTACTGACGTGTCTTCTGTGAAAGCTCAAAGACAGGACTGGCAGCAGGTAAGAGATTTCACCATCATTCCATGCTTTGAAGTTCTCTGGGCTCTCCCGGTCGCATTTGTATCCGGGGCACCTAGCTGATACGGTCCACCACAACAGCCGTCAAGCGATCAAAAAATATGTCAAAGCCAACAACAAGGGCCTGACAACCGCGACTGATGCCCAATTCGATGTCATGTTCAACAAGGCTCTGAAGACCGGCGTTGATAAGGGTGACTTCACCCAACCCAAAGGTACGTCCCCACGTAATGGTTTGCCTAGGAAGTGGCGTGCTCCCCCCTTCTGGGCCATCAAAGAGTCGCCTAAATCTTCATTCCTGACTGACGCGTTCCTCTTAGGCCCGTCTGGACCCGTGAAGCTGGCGAAGAAGGAAGCCAAGCCGACTGCTGCCAAAGCAGCTGCCCCGAAGGTGAGGCCTGAGAATACCATCGTTTACACGCTTCCCATCGGCGCTGACAACGACATAGAAGGAACCAAAGGAAGCCAAGCCTAAGGCTGCTTCACCTACAGCCACCACCAAGAAGGCTGCACCAAAGAAGGCGGCCCCCAAGCCCGCCACCACGAAAAAGGCACCCGCTACCAAGAAGACCCCAGCTGCCAAACCAAAGGCTAATACGGCCAAGCCAAGGGCGAAGAAGACTGCTAAGCAACCAACTACCGTACGTTACTCGTCGCCATTTGTGAGGGCACTGGGCTGATGTGATCATAGGCACCTGCTGTTGTGGATGTCCCAACATCACTCACCAAGACCAAATCGGGACGCGTCACCAAGACCAAACAGACCGCACCAACCGCGGCAAAGAAGGCCGCCGCATCGAAGAAGACTCCCACAAAGAAAGCCACACCCAAGAAGTCGGCGACACCGAAGAAGACCGAGGCAGCTGCATAGGCTGTTCAGATGACCTGATGTCATCCTTCTTGTATTTGCTCTAGGGCGCCTTTCGGGTGGGCGGAGTATGGGAGAGCAAAACCGTGTCTAGGGCACCAACGACCCTTTGAGACGTCCAACCCGGGATGCGCGGATCGTTCTCGTGTGATTGTATGTACTGTGTGGCCTCTACGGAACCGCCGTGTGATGATCGGACTGTTTGATGGCGTTTGGGTAGTTTCATGGTCATATCTGGTAAATCTAAGGTGTACTTTACCTCAGAAGTCAAACACCTCGACATTGAGCATTCACTTAGTCCTCCAATGGATGTATGACTTGTTGCTTCTGAAGGTAGCCGGACGAAAACCTGCCATGGCTAGTGGGATCGGGGCCCAGGCACCTTAGACCGAAGCCTTGCAAAGCTTGATAGCCGGCAGGATCACCACCGTGTCAGGCCCGCAGGTTGGGTTGCGACAGTAGCTTTGAAATTGAGAAACCACGACAGTGTGTGAAACCTTCCCACTTCCAGATAGGATCGTCCTTATTGTCAGTTGCCTAATTTAGCGAGGGTTGGACACATGAAAAGGGGATGCGGAGACGACGTCATTTTTCATTGTTGGATGAGACCAGGGCTCTCACCCGGCACCGCATATTCGGGAGAGAAACTCGATTTCAAAATACTACGTACAAGATTATCTTGGTGACCACAATCATACGAGGGACCTTGGGGTGCTACAGACTTGCCAACTAAGATAAATTAGTGTACGTAGAACCCCTGGCAAGTGGGAAGTGTCATTCATAACCATAGTTCTGATCAGTCAAGTTTACTACGTACTACTAGTAGCATTCGAACCCAGCTTGAATCTCAATTGGCTAGCATAGTCTTGGCAAAGCTTTTCACTCGCTTTGCTGCAGTGCCGTGCATCTTGAATGAAGTTGCTTGCTGGAATAATGAAGAGCACTGCCGGCTATCATTAATCTGCAGCGGCAGGGAGAAAACATTCCTCAATGTAAATTATGCTTGCCAGAGTCACACCTGAGATCGAAGAGCCGTACGACTTGAAATGAACCTTCCGATGCGACGTAACATTATCAGCTGTAGATGAAAAAGCTGGTCTGGCAACTCTGAAAGGCAACGGCCGACTCATTCCACCACACTGGACTCATGAGACATAATGCCCGCTATATCCAGCGATGGTGCCGTTCCTGCCATTCCTGCCGGGGCCGACTCTTCCGCTGACCGCCTACCACGGAAATCTCACGAAAAGACCCTGAAAGGTGTCTTCGCGGTCACGAACGGCACCGGGCCAGATCGCGGACTTCCAGAACACAAGCCTGACCCGTTCAAAGCTCTGAATGGTCTGAAGAACGGCAGTTTCCACTCATTGCCCATTGGAACACCACCCGGGAGCGCAAATGGTGGGAGAGAAAGGTCGCATTCAAAAGCTGGCAGCACACGCTCGATAGGAAGCGCCAGAGGACGCCTCGCTGAAGTGGGAAGATTGTCATTGCAGGAGGAGCGGCATCAGAGAACTCCTGTGCAGGAATACCTACCAAGAGGCCATGTTAATGGGGTTCATGGAGATATTACCAAAACACCATCGAAGCAGAGACAGGAAGGGCATGGTGAATACTTCCCTCCAATTGACAGTCGCCCGCAAGACGAGACATCGGCTGCACATTCGACTGTTCTCGCGCACCAGGATGCTCCCGACTCCATCACAAATCAGCTTCCACCCAACCGTTTCTCTTCTCCGCCGGGAATATTTACTTCCATTAGCCAGGACGCATCATCGGCCGCTCTCCCACGATTAGCACATAGACATACACTTACGATACCCAAATCCTCGACCACGAACACTCGACCCTCCCGCGATTTCTCTTTCAATGCTGCCCAACCAGAAGATGCGATCTCGGCCGCAGGACGAACATCACCAGTCGCTACGGATCAACCTCGAAATCGACGCGCATCTCTGGGGCTAGCGAGACGCACCACAAAACCTCTACCATCCGATTCCCATCCAGATGAATATCCTCCAGACGAAGATGCAATGCGATGGACGGAAGCGATACGCCAGAAAAGAGCAAGTAGACGGAAGCGAAAAGAGGAGGAAGACGATGATCGTGTTATAGTCGGCACGAAGGTTGATCAAGGCCACGTGAACTGGGTAACGGCCTACAACATGCTAACAGGAATCCGCTTCACTGTCTCACGTACCAATGCTAAGATGGACCGAGAACTGACAGAAGCGGATTTTGATGCGCGGCATAAGTTCTCCTTCGACATTACTGGCAATGAGTTGACTCCTTCGGCCAAGTACGATTTCAAATTCAAGGACTACGCTCCTTGGGTTTTCAGACACCTTCGCTCAATTTTCGGGCTTGATCCAGCTGATTACCTTATGTCACTGACTTCCAAATACATTCTCTCTGAGCTCGGATCTCCTGGCAAATCCGGATCGTTCTTCTATTTCTCCCGGGACTACAAGTATATCATCAAAACAATACACCATGCCGAACATAAGCTGCTCCGGAAGATCCTACGAGAGTACTACAAACATGTGATTGACAACCCAGATACATTGATCAGCCAATTCTATGGATTACATCGGGTAAAGATTCCGTACGGATGTAAGATACACTTCGTTGTCATGAACAATCTGTTTCCACCACATCGTGACATCCACCAGATGTTTGATCTGAAAGGAAGCACGATCGGGCGTGATTTCCCAGAGGAGGATCTGGCGAAGAACCCTCGGGCGACTCTGAAGGACCTGAACTGGTTGAGAAGAAATCTCCACCTCGAGTTAGGGCCTGGCAAGAGGGAGGCTTTCCTTGAGCAGATGAAGCGGGACGTCTCGTTGCTTCAGCGACTACATATCATGGACTACTCAATGCTGGTGGGCATCCACGATCTGGAAAAGGGGAATGAGGAGAATGTGCGTGAGAACATGCTCAAGGTGTTTCAGCCTGGTGGTGAGAGGAAAGAGGGTGATATGACCAACATGCTTACCCGGACGCCTTCTAGAATGGAGAATGCTCTGAAGGCAAAACAACTGCGCTTGACCTTGAAGAAAGAAAAGCCTGTGCCCATGGGTATGGTGCAGGCGAAGATGCCGGATGAGATGGCGGATGAGCGGAAAGATAGGATATTCTACTCCGATGATGGTGGGTTCCAAGCAACACACGACAATGGGCAGCCAGGCGAAGTCATCTATTACCTCGGAATCATTGACTGTCTTACCCACGTGAGTTCTACATCTTACATTCTCAGGCACGGTAAAGGCTGACTATCTCTGCAGTACGGATTTGTCAAACATCTCGAGCATTTCTGGAAGGGGTTATCAAACCCAAAGAACCAGATTTCCCCTGTCCCACCGCACGAATATGGAGAGCGTTTCATCAACTTTATCACCGGCATAACCATGACCGAAGAGGAAGCCGAGCGCAAGAAAGCTTCGGGATCTGAGCATGCAGGGCAGTCCTTTGATCATACTGTGTCGACAGTCGACGGTGCAACCAGATCCATTGACGCGGTCAGAATGAGCAGCCACTCCGACCGACAACCACGAAGTCCTGTCGACAAAACCATGGACAAGGCACAGAAGCAGGCGGAGAAGAGTGAAAGAAAAGGCGCCCACGAGCAAGCCATGCCAGACCGTACCCTGGGTACGATGAGAAGCTCCAGCACGGATCGAACACACGGAGGGGCTGGCTCTACATTACCTGTCGTCGAGGAGGCTGGGGAGGCCGGGTCAACGGGAGGAAGAAGCAGAAATAGCGTAGCAGGGAACGTTGTCGATGAGAAGGAAAGAGGCAGACCAGAGGATGAAGCGTCCCAAGGCGGTATCAGGAGGGTGATCAGTAACGAGGAGCCATTCACCGAAAAGGCTGATGCTGACGGGTTTGCGGGCGCGCCTGTGTTACCGCCTCTCATGACGAGCCCCGCCATGACGGATCCGGAGAAGAGCTTGGGTAGTGGTGGACTCGAGATGCCGGAAGGACTTGACATGCGGCATGGCGTTTGAGGGGGCCAGAGGAGCGCCGTTGTTGAGACTGTGGTGAACACACATATTCGCATTTGGGATTTGGTCTCAATGGAGCTGGGGTGACTGGTCAGCGGGTTTTTCAGCTGGGGTTGGCCAACACCTCAGGGCGTGGAGGGGCTGTGCGGAAGCCCAGCAGCGCCGGTGCACCACGGAGCGAGGCTCATCTCCGCCGCTGCTCGCTTTGTTTTGCATTGTATTGTATGCTTTTTTTTATCCATTTCGGTTCTGCATCAGGGAGCAAGCGTTTCATGATGGACGGATATATACACGTATAGAGATAGTGGCTGGGGCTCTGCTTGTGGGTTTTCATCCTCGATCGCAGGTCCAGCTGCCCTTGAGGTCAGGGTGAGAGAGAGCAGGTAGTAACTCCTGAGGTTAATGTCTTTATTGGTCGGCTCTGACCATGGACGATGATCCTTTGACTTGTCGGTTTTTGCACTTTTCATTGAGATAAATTGATGATGGGGACCTCCGGACCGTCATTTGTGTGGTCGAGTTAACTAGTAGTTATTTACTAAAAGTACTGTAGGGTGGTGTGTTCTGGGCTTTGGATTCTCACTGAAGTGCGTCCGCCAAGTCTTTATTTGTCGTCGTTCCTCCACAACCTGGACATTGAATTTTCACTTTTACGAACTGGCAGTTAGTACTAAGTTAGACAGATTGGAAGCTCTCTAGCATAAAGATTCCACCACTTTGGATTAAATGTGCCTCTATCATTCGGACTGGTACTAGTAGTGGGTCGCTAACTCTGGTACTGGTAGATTTTCCTGTGGTACTAACTAGTACCATCTCTTGAGTATCACGCCGATGCTTTCTGGTTACTTCGCGCTGCGCTGCAGTGCCACTTGACATGAAAAGCCCGCGGTAGCAGGGCCATTCATCATCACGATTTCATCTACCTAACTTAGCCAAGTCACATCATCTGGAAAGCAGGCATCAATGGGAGTCTGGTTGCTGTGACGGACGAGTGCAATGGATTTGGTTGGAAGTGTGGAATGTCATGGCTCTTCGATCTTTTATTCCTGATAGGTAAATCGAGGGAGGAATTGAGGGACAGTAGGATGGGGTAAGTACTGTTCTTAACTACGTGGCAATAATAATAGGAAAAGATCACCCAAGTGACCTGAAAATACATGGTTCTTGAATGCTCGATTGATCCCTCTTACTTACCAAGAAGAGCTTCTTGCCAAATCCGGTGATACCTTCGATCAGGATCAGGTGTTCGTCCAAGTTAGGGGTCAGAGATCCCCATGGCCTTACTAAGAAGTGTCTGGACTTGGGTCATGAGCTTCTCAACTGGTTGCAGTGGAGGAACAATGACCATGGCCTGAGGGGATAGAAGCTATTGTAGATGTTTGTCCTGAATCACTACTAACTAGTTAGTATGTAATCGGATGATTGGGAAATCGGACCTTTGATTGTGGTCATCGATTCTTCCTTTCCGAGGTCTTCCATTGTTTTTGCAAGGTTTCATCACATGGAGACTGGTGAGTAAGGTTTGTTGCAACGAGACGACAATAAATATTTGTCCGCCAAGAGCCTCCATAAATATTTACTTACATGTGCTGTCTTTACGTCCAATGCCACACCTCAAGTTCCCGACCGGTCAGACAGAGGGGACGCATCTAGCGTCCTTGAAGCAGATAGGAGGAAAGGTAGTAAAAGAATAAACAAGCAAACCGCAGGCAGGGACAACGTCCATGACGCATACTACCATATGGGGGGTCTACTATCTCAGGTCATGTCTAAGAGATCACCGTGCCTTGAATTAGTGTCGGATGGTCTTGGATATGATTTTATGCACAACTTCGATCTTCCTCTGCTGAGGAGAATGAAGTCAGATTCCATATCTCCGATCTGGTGTCTAAGTTAGGTGCGGAATATCGTCACTCGAGCCGGACTGGAATCAAGGGATGAACACTAGCGAGCGAGGTATTTAAAATACCCAGTGCCGGGACAGCAGAGTATCAAAAACCCCCCTGAGACAGCAATAGGAAATCAGATATCATCATCAACTCAATCACTGGGCTGACGGTACTGATCTATGGCACTGTGCGTTTACTCTCAACCAAACAATTCCATCACCACCTTACTTCGATCCCCTGATTTGCTTCGTCCTGGCGTATACTTAGTACTAAATAAGTACCCGATGTTGGGTTTCGGGTGCTGGACATGATATAGCCTTTTCTTGTTTGGACGAACGAATGAATAAATGAATCGATAAAGCGTGGTTTGTTGGAGTTCGACTGGGAGTGACTACTGGTTGGTAATGGAGTTGCTGGATGCTGGCCAGCTACCTACCTACTAGGGGCTAGGTGTCAAGAGGTCAGAGGTTGACTGTTGAATGATGGAGATCAGCAGAGGACAGGCTTGCTCGCTCGGTAACGGGACAAGCGTCTGACACGCTACAATAGAAGAGGGAAAAGAGTTCATGGATGTTCAATTTCTCATGTCAAACCCAGCACCATGGAGAGGGACGCGCCCCTAACGACCTCCAAACACGTCTTTCTGCGTACCGATGATCAATCCTCCATGCCCAACTTCTTCAACTCCTCTAAGAACTCCCTCGCATTGACCATCTCTGTGCTCCCATACACCACGCGTCTGTTCCTCGCTCCTCCAGAACCCGCAGCACCAACACCCCCTCCACCTGATATGCTGGTCCTCTTGACCCACTCTTGCAGGTTCCCATACTCATCCATGCTCCCGCCGCCAACAGTAAACACAATCGCTTCATTGAAGCCCTGTCTCCGCTGTCCGAAACTGGCCCCGGTTCCGGGTCCCGCACTCCCAAGGCCACCTGGCATCGTTGCCCCTCCCCCTCGAGCGGAGGCTACTCCCGGCCCGCCCGTCGTCCCCCTGGCATGCGCATTCCTCGGGTCAAAGTACAGATAATTCTCCGTCTTGGCTATGGCGGACGATGAAGCGGCCGTAGGGTCCATGATCGATTCCAAAATTTTCGTCAGCGTTAAGTCGCGGTTCGCGGGGAGAAAGTTCTTGACTCCCGAAACGAGTGCGTCGAGGTTTACATTACCGAAGGCGGTAGAGGAGAGGCGATCGGTAAAGTTCTTAGAGAGGCTGGTTAGGCCACCGAAGAGAGGCTGTTGAGTTGCGGCGGAGGAGGATTGTTGCGAGGTTGGCGCGGTGGTCATCATGGTCATTTTGGTTTCTAAGCGCACTCGTTGGATGTATTTGAGTGCGGGAATAGTGTCACCGCAACCGGCGGTTGTCAGTGCGGATTCGAAGCGGTTCATTTCGGCTTTGGAAGGCTCGGATTCGGTGCTCAGATACCAAATGATGAAGATGCGGAGTTTGTCTAAAGGGTCGTTGCCCTTGTCTTCTGCTGTTATGAGTTGTAAAATCTGCTGGGCGGTTTGCTTTGTAATGTTCTCTTCCAGCTGGAAGAAATTGTCGAGTTGACGATCTTTGATGCCTTTGAGCAGTGCGGTCGCAATGTTCATGTGCATGTCCAATATCGCCTTTCGTTCACGAAGCTCGGGAAGGAGGGTGATGGCTGCTTTGAGGTGAGCGGCTGAGGAGGAGTTGTCGTTCAGATCTTCGATACTGGAGACACCTGTCTTTCTGGTGATGTCATCAGCGTCGGTCTTGTAGCGGGTGAGCTCTGAATCAATATCCTCGGCTACCTGGGGAAAAGGAACGCTGGCATTGCGTGCCCAGAAAAAGTCACCCGCGTTAAGGTCGTAGGCTCGAGTCTTGGGGGTGGTACTTGCATCTTCAGATACAGGAACCGTGATTCGATTCAGGTGCATCATCAGCACGTCATGCACAAGGGATTGATAGGTCCACGAATGTGACAGCATTGGTATAAGGTCAACTTTCCGATCCACTATTATAAGCACTGGACGGGAAGAAGGAACATAAGTAACAGTCCCTTGAGCTTGATTCGCACTCGAGAAGAGATTGTCTTTCGAGTTCAAAACATGGTCTCGAAGTTTACGATCAAGCTTGGCTGCAATGTCCTGCGCTGCTCCGCCCTGTGGACATCTGATAATGGGGATTGAGCCCATGGTCACACTGACACTGAAAAGCCCGCTGACAATTCTATCAATGGATGAGTCCACATCTGCATCTGTCGCCTTTGCGCTGTTCAGGGTCCAGTAGGCTTCCTTGCCCATGCCCAGACTGAACAGATCTGGCTCCGCAACGATGAAATTGAGGTATTGATCGTAAACTTGTGCTATGCTCTCTGCAGTATTTGTGGCAGCTATTTGAGCAGCAAAATCTTCGAGCAAAGGGCGAGGGATGGAGGTGAGAAAGTTGACGTAGGCAGGAGAGTAGAGTTCACGGGCAAGGTCGGAGCATATTAGCTGAATGTTGACAGCTGTAGGCTCGACAAGATACAGGACAGGGACATCAGGTATTGGGTATCGAGGCGAGTTGATGTTCCTGCTTATCATCAGTCCTGGAATGCGTGATCCGAGCTCGTAGGTACAAACCTACGTACAGATGTATCGTCACACCCCGTGACCGCAGGTCATTGACGCGTAGCACGCTGCTAATGATATCTCGACCAAGGTTATCAAAAACCAGCACCTTCCAGATCGGCTCTCCATCTTCGTTGAGGATGGCGGTTGACTGTGGTATGAGGCCGTTTGTATGGGCTTCGTGGTTGGCTTTACTTTCTGGGCTCTGCGAATTCAAATTGAGAATCCTCTCAATCGATGCTTCTTCTTGTCAGTGCCAGTCATAGCGTTCCAATGAAGTATCATAACACACCAATCTGCCGATCCCTAAGAGACTGTGACTTCGCCATTATGCCCTGTTGGTATCACCTGATCCCATATAACCTAGCAAGGCGTCCAGGGTGAATCATGATGTCCGTGTAATCTGCAGCGAGAAGTGAAGATTCTGCCTCATATTCATGTCATGCAAGACGATGTGGCCTTTTGCAATGTCTGTCCCTACACGTAATATTCGTAGCATTCGTATTGAATTTCCGTAATGCTGCCAAGTTTTACAGGCACAACTTGAATGACTAAATCCGGATTGACGCTAAGCCACTTTGGGTGTAGGCTGCCTGCCGCGCTGAATTTCCTTCAAAAGCCAAACTCAACTTCTGCAACTCGAAACTCCGCAATTCCATCCACAACTCTTCCTCTGCAACTACTCCATCCTCGTCTCTTCATCGTAAACTTGAATCTGCAGGCTCTAATAAAGGCCTACATAAGCGTCTGTTCAGGAGAGCTTTTTCTGCTAAGTTCCTGGGAGCTGGGATTGGGTGGATGTGCAAGTGAAAAATGCGCGTTTTGGTACGCGTCTTCTAAGCTACCTACCTTAAGCTACAGATCCGCAGACTTGGAGGAGAATACAGAGCAGACGGAGGATATATGGTCATATCATCTCTGCAAGTCCACCGGTCAACTTGGTGCTGAGCAAACAGTGTCGCTCCGGTTGGGTGGTGCTGGTCACTTTGAGTTCAGGGGCCCCTTGCCACTGGTAGCAGATCTTCATAACACCCAGCAGGGGTTTTACAGTACAGACAGTCATCTACGCAGCTATACATTCCGGAGGCTATGCGATAATACTCACACGCGCCAGAGTCTACATTTTTCTCAATCCTGGCAGCCTACTACGCTTAATCAGTGCGGACGTTGATGCCATAGCCACTTTTTCCCATTCTGCAGCTCAAGGGCGGCATCTTGTCTAAAAGCGGCACTACCAAGCCGCTAAGAATATTTGTGTCACGTGATATCATAAGTCGTGGATCATCAACGCCATGAACAATTCCACCTCTCAAAACATGAGCACATCTCAGCCACAAAGGAACGATGGCAGTGCACTGGGAGAATTCTTCAATAGTGGCTTGCAGACATATGTGAACTATCCGTCAGAAAATGAAACTGCACCGGAAGAGTTCATGTGGGATCCTAGTCTCTTTACCAATTCACAAATATACTCTCCTCCTGCGGCGACGCATACACCCGCTTGGAACCAGAATGCGGCTGCACAGTCTCGAGATCCTCCACTTACGGCCTATGGCGCTCTTCAGTCATCATTCCAGCTTGGTCAGTATGGTCAGCCATCTTTTGACCTTCGTCAGCCATCGCCCCAACCCGCGCATGACCCCAGATTGATCTCTCGACCTTCACCTTCACCAACACCATACAGTCACCATAATCCTCAGTCGGCAATGTTATACCGAGATCTTTCCTACCAAAACCAGCAACAATTCAATCCACAATCAATGGTCTACCCTCAACGTCCCAACTCTACCTCCACGCCCACATTTGATGGCCACGCCAATCGGAGCCCCTACTTCAATTATGGTTCTCATATGGCTGGGCAGTCGCAGTTACAGGTAAATCCGCTCCGACATCAGGTTCTTCCGAATGCTTATCTTCCGCAGTCCCTCGATCTTACGAACAGCTTGGGTGGCTTTCCTGAACAGCAGCAGCAGCGGCCGGCTGCCCCTTTTATTGATCCTTCCTTCCTCACAGCGAATGGGCTGCAACGTCAGAGAATCGATTCTGCTCAAAGTCAGTAAATCATCCGGTCTTGTTGCTTTGTCTAACATCAATACACAGACATCTATCCTTTTCTGGGACAAGAAAATGTCCACTCTCAGCCTGGCGGTATGTAGGGCCTGCGTTGCTGCATATGACTTTTACTGACCCTCTCAGGCCAGCATACGTCACTCTCGACAACGCCAAATCCTGTACATGGGAGTAATGTACCGACAAGTCAGACTGGAGCCTTCATGGGAGTTTTTGTTCCGCATAAAACGGACAAAGCCACTGCAAAAGTGCGCAAACCAAAAGATCCAAATGCGCCCAAGAAGCCAAGAGGTCGGCCGAGAAAGGACGCTTCTCAAACATCAGCGAAGCAGGAGACGGATGCCTCAACATCAGAATCAGACTCAGACGAGCTTCAAGGAGAGGAGAAGGCCGAGCCGTTGCCTGATCTGCTTCGTGATCCAAGACCAGAGAGTGCAGACAAAGTGATCTACGATGTTGCAACTGCTGTGTGGTCTCCACGAAACAAACCGGCTGTGGCAGAGAATGTCAGAAAGGGCATTGCACTTTTCGGAGATGTAGTCAAACAACAGCGTGACGCATGGAAGGTAAAAAACGAAGCTTTGAAACAAGCTGAACTCGCCAACACCACTGCCATCCCCAGCCTCAAGCAAGAGGTGGCCCAATTTCGAAAGACGATTGAGACCATGGCTGATCAAGCCCTTCGCTTTGGTCACCCGGCACATCTCGCGAAGTACGTATACCCCTATCTTTTCCTCTGTCTATTGTCATTGGGCCCTGTGGGGAGACATAGAAACGCACTGTTATATTCGAGAAGTTGCCTTGATTGCCATTTATGTAGCACTGAAACTATGGATCAAAGCTCGTGGAGCCTCTTCAAAGCCATAATAAAGGCCTAAGTAACGCATATGGGATCAAACCATGCTACCGTACCCAGAAGTGCATATACACATGCAATTTCACTGCTCCTACAACGCTGAGCATGGGCTTGAAGCCCCCATCAGGTTGTCCCTGAATGTCTTCCATGATGTGGTACCGGACGCTGAACAATTTACATAGCCCTGATCAATATAGCTTTGATGTCACGCATTGTGTCCCAAATTCCCATCGACTTCATTAATCAAATAAGCTAATTCTTGTTCAGGCTCGGAGAAAATCCGTTTACCATGTCTGCTCTCCAATCTTTTCTGGTGGATCGAATCAACGCTCTCGACATGGATGGTGATCTTGTGAAGAGTATATTGAAGGTATGTGTTACTGCTGGCCTGTGACATGGTCTTAGCTGATCATGTTTTATTAGCTCATGGATCGCTTTACCACCCTGGACGAGGAGATGCTAGAGAAGACCAAAACCTCCAAGATCTTGACCCGTCTCACTAAGAAAGCTGGCAACGAGGTCAAAGCTTTGGCTCAGTCGGTGCTGGACCATGCTGCTGCTGCTTCAAAGAAGAAGGCCGCAAGCTCAACTAAAGTAGAAGGTGGAGATTCTCCTATGGCAATGAATGACCCAAAAACTGCTTCTGCAGCTGGCCTCAAGCGAGCGCGAGAGGCGGATGGGGGATCTTTGCCAGCAACAAAACGCACAGTGGTTCTCACGACCGTCAAGCAAGCCTCCAAACCGCTAGCTTTGCAGAACGCAGAGCGAAAGAAATTGGAATTAGCAGCAACCAAGGCTAAAACCCCAGCTACTACGGTGAACGGCACTTCCAGCACTGCTCCTGCTGCCGCCTCAAAGGCTGCAGTGGCAGCTGCAATGCCACCGAAGCCTTCACCGAGTCCGTTCTCTGCTCTGATGTCTGCGTCCAAGAAGCCTGGCACGTCGATTGCCGCTCGTGCAGCTGCTGCCAAAGAGAAAGCTAGCGCGGCTCCTGCTCCAGTCACGAAAAAGCCATCGCCACCACCGGTAGCTGTCGTCAAGTCTGAGCCAGCCGTCGCGCCTGTCGCCAAGTCCACTTTCTCCTTCATGGACACTCTTGCCGATATGAGTCGGCCGAAGCAGATTGAAGAGAAGAAAGTTGATGACAGACCACCCGAGACGGAGGAAGAGCGAAAGAAGCGACTTAGAAAAGAGGAGCGCAGAAAACTGCGGGTTTCATGGGCGCCTGAGAATGAACTCACCCAGATCAAACTGTTCATTCATGACCCTGAAGAGGAGATCGGCCAAGCAGACAGTGCCATGCGGGACGTCGATGATGTAGGTGGTGAAGGGCGGATGCTTAAGCTGCACAAAGATCTAGAGGATCTTGATGACGATGACGATGGGCGCCCCAATGCCGAAGACATGGAACCATATAGAGCTCCGACAGAAGTTGACTTCACCGTGATCGATGAAGCCGCTCGAACAGGAAGCTTCTTGCGCCGTGGGGGTTCCGAAAAGCCAGAGAGTGCAGAGAAAGAAGCGCAAGACCTGCGAGAACAGAACACTCTGATGGTTGTCTATGCCTTGCCTTCTGATGTTCCACCGACACCAAAAGAGCCACCTGCCGCGGGTGACGAGGATGATTACACTCCTTTGACTTCATTTGGGGAGCCGGAAGAAAAGACCCGACACCGTGAGAAACAATATTATGAGCAGATCAGAGCTCCTCCTCAACAAGCTGCCGCAACCACACCAGATCTGAATGCCATCCTCAACCTCATGAAGCAGAATCAGCAACCACTGGCTCAGCAACCAGCATACAACACCTTTACTCCCCAGCCTGCACCGCAACAGCAGCCGGCTCAAGGTGTGGACATTAGCAAGATCCTGGCCGTAATGAGTCAGATGCAGCAGCCCCAACCCCAAGCTCAACCTGTCATCCCTGCTCAACCCCAACAACAGGGCGGCCAAGTCAATCTCGCTGCTCTACTGGCGCAAATGCAAGGCCAAACCCAGCCTACCCAACCTACCCAACCTACCCAACCCGCACAACCTCTCGCGTACGGTTACACTGGCAATCCGAATCCCTACCCCGGCGCAGATACCGAGTACTCTCGCAAGCATGGCCGCAATGAGTCGACTTCTGAATATGAAGATTATGCATGGAAGAAGAAAAAGCCCGCCAGCGGATCCGGAGGCGCAGGAGGGGGAGGAGGGAATGCCGGCTCAGCCAAACCTCATCCCAAGGCCAAGACGGTGATTTGCAAGTTCTGGCAGGAAGGGAAGTGTAAGAAAGGGGATGATTGTACTTTTATCCACGAGTGAATTCGCGGGCGGAACATGGCATGTTCCCGATTTGACGCATATGCATCTGAAGAGGAATTGCAGGCGGACTTTTTCTCTTCTGTGAACATCAGCGTTCGGGTGGCGGGTGGGTTGCATTTGCAGGTGTCCGGTGGGAGAATAGGCCGCCGAGTCTCCAGTGACATGAAAGTCAAGCACCCGTCAGCGAGCGGGACATTGTTGTTGTTGTGTGTGAGATGCTTGAATCAATAGAGCACGGGCGTCCCGCAAAAAGATCTTTACATCCCATGCACGCGAAGCCTGCAATGGATGGCGGCGCGTAATACTATCAAAGTAGATCTAGCAGCGTATCTACAGAGCTCATGCAGGCTTTCTTGTTCAGTGTCGATTGCAAACCGCCACCCTCTCTATCCAGCATCCAGCGTAGGCTGTCGGTATAGCTCTTTCTCGGCCTCTGGAGATTAGTTACCTAATGCGACGATGCATGCATGCTTCTAGACTCCAGTGACGGACGCCTTACACCTATACATATACATACATACATATATATATATACAGAGTTGGGGTTGATACAAATTTCCCACTGTAGCAAGAGTCTCATCTCAGGTCAATCGAACCCTAGCTTCCCTCTTCCTTGCCCAGACTCCCCCCCAAAAAACCTGTTTTCCATCTTTGCCATCCACCCTGCCCACCCCGGCAGGTGAAGTAAGAAGGTACCTCACCTGAGGAAAAAAATCCAAAAACGGAAATTGGACAGAAGGAGGTTCGAACTCCTGCATCCTCACGGATAACGGTGTACAAAGTTGCAGACGACACAAATGTATCAGTTGTGCAAAGAACTTAAGACCGTCGCCTTAACCACTCGGCCATCTGTCCCGAGAAAAACTAGATATTTTTCGCATTTTAAAAATATATTTCATATTACTTTTTGTTTAGAGAAACCAAGAGGTGAAAGGAGTTCATGCAGGCCATTAAACCACCATAGCGACTTTCATATTCTACGCGTTCAGTGTTTTCTCTGGAACGGGAGGTTATGAGGCGGCGGCTACTCAAGGGATAAATGGGTCTCCTGCTGGGAAACAGGGGAGAGAGAGAGAGAGAGAGAGAGAGAGAGAGAGAGAGAGAGAGAGAGAGAGAGAGAGAGAGAGAGAGAGAGAGAGAGAGAGAGAGAGAGAGAGAGAGAGAGAGAGAGAGAGAGAGAGAGAGAGAGAGAGAGAGAGAGAGAGAGAGAGAGAGAGAGAGAGAGAGAGAGAGAGAGAGAGAGAGAGAGAGAGAGAGAGAGAGAGAGAGAGAGAGAGAGAGAGAGAGAGAGAGAGAGAGAGAGAGAGAGAGAGAGAGAGAGAGAGAGAGAGAGAGAGAGAGAGAGAGAGAGAGAGAGAGAGAGAGAGAGAGAGAGAGAGAGAGAGAGAGAGAGAGAGAGAGAGAGAGAGAGAGAGAGAGAGAGAGAGAGAGAGAGAGAGAGAGAGAGAGAGAGAGAGAGAGAGAGAGAGAGAGAGAGAGAGAGAGAGAGAGAGAGAGAGAGAGAGAGAGAGAGAGAGAGAGAGAGAGAGAGAGAGAGTGGAGAGTGGGTGATTGGAGTTGCCCTCTCAAGACATCATATCAAATTAGGATGAGTCGTCTGGCGAGATACGTGGTGAAAGTATGGATACCTGCCTTCCTGAACGAGTAATTCAAGTAAATTCAGGTGCACACGCCGGGCCATCGAGTTCCTGTGGAACAGCTTCCTGTTTCACGGCTGGAATTATAATTCTTCCTGGACGGGGCAATCATACTTGATGGAAGATGCAGAGACGGCCGTTGCGGGACGGCCTTGGAGCCATTCCAGGGCGTCCATCGAACTCAAAAGAACAGCCGTGGTGGTACGACTGGGAGGGGTAAATGACAATGGCATGTAGACTAAGGAAGAAAAGATAGATACCTGGAGGTGGAAGGAGGATTTGGGAAGCGGCTATGATTGGCAGGATACAGTTCGAGGCACTGTTGGTATCGTTTGTTGCCTCAATTTGTGTTTACTTTGTCTGTCCCAACATGGACGTAGATGCACATTCATAACGCTGTATGCCAAGTCAAAATACAAGAGGAAAGAAGCGCTATACACGTCCTGGGATGGCGCTGTGCTTGGACGTGATGTACATAGCCTAAAGCCGTCTGTTTGAGCCGAGTCCGAGCCAGGCGCCTTGCGAACGCAACCATGATTGAAGAGAAGAAACGTTGACGAAAAGTCCCACTTAAACGCCTCGGAACTATTGACATTGTTAGCATGTCTGCCAGAATAGACACAGTCATGCGGGAGCTTACCATCCTGACAACCAAGAACCACATCGCACCTATAAACCTGAACAAACTCAACGCCGCTACACTCCAAAGCACCACGGCCATGTAGATAGTGGTCTTATTATCCTGCTCCTCCGGGTCCTGGTTGACTTCGATCCGATTTACGCCGGCGGCGCCCAACACCACTGCAGCCAATGCAAAATTGCAGAAGATCCACACAAGGACAACAGTTGATCGGAAGCCCTTGTAATAATCTTCCTTCTTCTCCTCCTCGGAGACTTTCTTGACTTCTTTCGGTGCTTTGATGCTGAACTTCTGAATTTCGGCTTCGTACAGAGCGTTGAGGTCGCCGTCATCCTGCGGAATCAAGATATCAACTTTCCCATCGGCCTTCACGTTGGCGGATGGGAGTTTCTCGGGTTTGTCATCCCCTTTCGTACCCCAGGTGATGTCGTGAGTGTTGCAAAAGGCATAAATGTTGAGAACGTTGATGTAAGTCGGCGTGAGAACGATGTACTGAATGAAACAGGTAAACATGTGCCATGGGTCGAAGAATAGAAGGCTAGCCACTATCCAAAGGACATAAGTTGAAAGAAGTGAGACGATCATGCTGAAAAACTGCGAGTTCGTGAATATAGTTGAGAAGGAAAAGTCTTGGTCGGCGAGCTCTGCCTGAATCGATCTGACGGTAACGAAGACAGCGGCAAATGTCAAATAGACCATCAAGAAGCACCAAAATATCACCATCGTCATGTAATATTTGCCGCTGCCTTGTGGCCTATTGCCCAGAGCCAAAATGAAGCAAGTGACCAGCGTAAGCAGGTAGGTCCATTCGAAAACGACGCCGAGAATCCTACCAGCAGTTCCAAGGAGATCCTCATTTCCCAGTGAGGTGGTGAGAATACGAAAGACGAGGAAGAAGTTGCCGATCGCGAACCAAGCAAACAGCATGTTGACAGTTTGGTAGATGAATTCGATAAACAGCATAAACTTCCGCATCGCGCTGTGATCGCTCCGCCAGAGTTGAAAGAAATGAGCTATGGCATAGACTGCTGCGAAAAAGGAGCCATTAAGCCATCTTCTCCGCTGAAGTATAAATTCAGCCATCCCATCCGGCACATCGGTCTCGCCACTTGCTGATTTCACATACTGCAATATCCAATGGCAATTACGCTTGGTGACAAGTTCGAAACAAAGGATACGGTCTTCGGCCAGATACATGTTTGCCGTGAATATGCCTGCGTTCGCATGCATCTTCTCGCCTGCGAAGTACTTCTCAAGAGGGCCATCACCATTCTTGTCGTTTTGCAGAGCGATATAGCGGTAGGCAGAGAAGGCCCCCGGTAGCACAGAGATAAATCCAAAGGCAGACTCTAGTGGCTTGTCAAGAATGTTTGACATTTTATATTCAAAGTTCTGGGTCGCCACGAGCGGGTTGATCAATTTCCTTCCACGGTCCAGCATGACCTTGATTTCACCACAGGCTCCTCCGCACATTGGTTCCAGGTCGAAAGCCTTCCACAATTGGTATATGGAGTCCTTGCCTGGCTTGGTGCCAGCATCGAGCAAAACACAAACATTCGGATCGAGAACTCGACCAAAGGCTTGGAAAAACCATCTGTGCGAGTTGATCTTCTTCTGATTTTGCTCCTTGAGGCAGAAAAGCATTTGCACCGGCGTGTTAGAATGCGGCTTGAGTATAACTTGTTTCCCTTTCAATTCCATCCCGACTTGGGTTGTATACTCATAGATGTGGGCTGTAACATTCTTTCCATTAACTTGCTGCTTCGCGATGCCATCCTGGTACACACCCAAGCCCGCCAAAACTGCTCTCGTCCTGGGGTTGATTTTTGCACGCCCGTCGCTTACCACACAGACTACGATCTTCTTCCAGGCCTGCTTACCCCATGTCTGACTTTTCGGTCTCGAACACATGTATTCAATATTCTTGAAAACTCCGATCATGGTACGGGCGAACAGAAAATCGTCTTCATTGTACATAGTCACTACAATGAATAGTTCTGTATGTCGAGGCGTAGCAAAAAGCTTCTGCCGTAGCGTAAAACGCTCATTGTAGAAATCCGAAGGGTCACAAGTTGCTGCGGAATACCGCATATGCGTGAACTCATCTCTCTGTGGAGCTTCGGCGTGAGGCACTTGACTGAGCAGTTTAGGGGGGATCGGGCAATCAAGAACTAGGTTTCCATTGAAAAGCTCTGTGGTCAGCTTCTGAGATTTCCATCGCTGTATACCCGGCCCGGGCATTGGGGCGTGCTCAATTGGTGGATCGTCCTGATATTCGGGCTGTAATTGTGGGTTAGGTCCGTATGGATCGTCAGCGTCCAGGATGGGCCGCTGGTCATTGTCGTCTTGGTAATGTTCTGTAGGAGTGGCGTATTGGTCTAGGGCATAATCGCCCTGGGGATGAGGAGTGTATGGTTGATTGAAGTAGGCGTCATGATGTTGTTCGGGAGATATGGCATAATCGTCGTTACCGTAGCCTGAGCTGTTGAAAGGAGGAGGTTGATGAGGATCGTATGCGCCACCTACATGCTCGACCGAGTACTTTGCCCGTATGTGTTAGTGTCGTTCTGCAGAATGTGGACGGAATAAGCGATTGACTTACTGTTGGCTGCATAGTAAGTCTATCGCTTGATGCCATGGGCATTTGTACGTGAGGAGGTTGCGGTCGGTATGGTTGATCTTCTAGCTGATAGCCCTGCGATAGATGTTGAGGTGAAGGTGAGCGATTTCCGTAGCTGGGATGCATGCCCGGGGATTGGTAGTCTTCGTCGTCGTCGTCACGACGGCCTGTACGCAGCGGTGTTAGTTGAGAAATGATATCGTGCACCGCGCATTGAGATGAGCTGCCGCTCCATCTCAGACCTCAATAATAACGGTTAAGGAAAGAAGTGTGGTGTGCAGTATCATTCTCCTTGTAGAAAGATGAATCCCAGGAGAAAAGGCAAGAGTGAGTACGTGGCTGCACCAAACATACCAAGACGGTTGTAGGACATGGCTCAGCGATGGGAGTCCGCCTCCCTGTTGACGTCTCCAGGTGGTCAATGTGTTGGAATGCGGAGAGTGTTGCCGCAGAACTCTGAGGCCGGATTGGTTTGGCAAAGATTTCGTACGAGATCTCCGTGCGTTTGCAAAGATAGTGGAATTGCGAAACGATGTGAGCAAGGGTGGGCTGTGTCGAGTGTTGATCAGGGGTACGAGGCTCTCGCTGTCAGCTGCGGGAATGTTTACTTTTTGAGGCACAAGATCTCGACCGAGGGCACGATTGAACACAAAGTTTGCCAGAGACGACTGGCTTCTGTCGCGATGACTGCAGTCATACGGCCGCCTTCTAGCATATACTAGCAATGAAATCAATTGTGGATTGAATGAATTAAGAACATGTGTGTGTGGATGGTGTGAAACGCAGTTTTGAACCTGCTGTAACAACGCCCAGGCGACCGTAATAACATATTTCAGCTGATCCCGAGAGCTAGTTAACAGCGCCTCTGAGTACGCGCCAACATCCACGACTATCAGCCGCCACACTCTCCACTAGTATTGGATGTTTTATTTAGCTTAGTTATAGAAGCCCCTTGAGGCACAGTACCTAAGTCGGGCGCATTGGGATTAAGTTCTACGATAGAACGTACGGCGGCGTCGTCTTATGGCTGGCATGGCTGGCGTGTCTAGACCAAGCTCTGGCACTTTCCACGTTTGGATATATCTGTTTCGAGACTACGACCAGAGACAATTCACTGACTGTACTGTATATCATGTCCCTCAAAGCATATTCGGCGCCAAAGGATATCTCGCTGATGCTACATTTATGATCGGACCTTTCTCTTGTCACAATCAAGCAATACCGGGAGTATAACCCTCTTTTAGTTTGACGACAGACAACTATCGTTTGAGGTCTCGTCTTTGCCTCTACCCAACACTGGGACCAGTCTTTGTCCTTGTCTTTGGCATGCGCAATCCAACCCATTATATCAGTCACCTTTTCGACAGCACACACAGCCCAATACCGGCGCACACTAACGCCATGCCTAACCAGGTATCCTTGCTGATGATTTTGCCATCGACGTACCAATCGCCTAAGACGGTGAAGAGGAAGGCCAGTGAATTCGTGATTGGCACTGTAAGAGAGAGCTCTGTGTTTAGGGAGATAGAAGTAAGCAATGTGGCCCACTTGAGAGCGGTGGGTGGAATCGAGAAGCTCAATAGAACGACGAGGTCTGCAATTGGCTGAGTGAGTGCTATTGCTGCATGGCCTTTGCGACCGTGATGATGTGCAATTGCCAGAGACAGATTGATATCCCTACAAGCAAGGCATGCATCCCAATTTGTGGTCCAAAAGCCTTAGATACACGACTTGAAAATGACAGAGTATGAAAATGAAGAATGTTTCGGAGTCACCTCACCAGCCTTTCCAACGAGCAGGAAGAACCAGACACTTCCTGTTAAATTGCATAACAGTGGAATGGCATATCCAGGGCTTTTCAGTAATCCCAAGATTGTAAAGAGGGCTTTGGCAAGCTGCCGAGTGAGCCAGCTGCGGTCAGGGTCTGTGATGGACGGATGTGTCGGAGTCGTGTATGTCAGCGCTGCACGGCGGATGAATGGTGTTGTGAACCCCCAACATAAGCCTACTATGAGAAAGGAGAGGACGTAAGCGAATGGAGATGGATTCGGTGTGTCGGACGAGATCATCTTCCAAAATAAGATTTGAGTGGTGCCGAACTCATAGACCGCTGATATGTGTCCAGGCTCGAGCAGTCTGCATCGTCGGTAATGCTGGATACTGATAATGTTATGGTGTCTGACTCGGGGTGAAGAGCATACTACGTAAACATGTTTGTGGGTGAAATGGTCTGTGGCCGCAAAGCAGAAGTGCGTGGATCTTGGCGGTGCTTTGCAACTGTACTGGGAGGTGGTGCTCGCAGATTAAGGGCATCGGGCCTTCGGGCAGTCTTCCGCCTGAGCAGATTAACGAACGGTGAACTGGGTGATTTCAATTTCGGCGTGACAATGGCTTTTCAGCCCTCATCCATAGTTACATCAACAAATAAGGTACGAATGGAGAGTATACCATTTCTCGCTAGCATTATGCTTTGAAACATCCTAGCTTTCAGACAATACACATAGATCGTTTTACTTTTTGAAGTTGTGGAGGCACACTTCTTTAAGCGAAGCATACGATCAAACATGTCACATTTGGTCCCATGACCATCATGTTAGAGAAGATCTTTGACATCCTTTCTTGGGTACAGATCCTGCTAAGATATTGATGAACTTACTACATAGCTGTAGTTTTTCTTGTAGCCAGATGAACGCAACCTCCTCAGCATATTTAGCTAGCTTGGGCGATATGCCAGTCGCAGCTTCGAAATAGCCCCGGCAACGCCATCGGGAGACTTAACGGGCAATGCTGACGCAATAGATATGGTATCTAAAGGTGCAATAATCGCGTTCACAGCATTCGAAGAAGAAGGTAAGACTCAGCAATCTTTGAGAGCTTAAATCTCACTTGCCAACTGTCTATGTTAGACATTAAAGACTCGGATCGGAAGCACCGAATAAGCTTTCATCATGCCACGGCCACATCCAGAGTGACAGTCACACGTGTATGCAGACCCATTACTCATATGCTCAATATCGGTAGTTCTGGTTGTGCATGTAATGTCCTAAACTTACCTACGTCTAATGCAACGACTGACAAAGACTGAGGTCTATCTATTACTTATTAACGATTGTGCTGGGTTTTGCAGCGGATACTGTGCGGGCTTGAAACGCAACATTGCTTTGTTTGCCCACAGGATTGACATGCGCCGCACCACCAACTTGCAAATATATTTGGATGTCTTCTCTTAAAGGAGACCTAAGTAAACTTTGGCGTATTGCTGAAGCTGCTGTATTTGGACTTCGAGCTTCCCAGGGCTGAGCTGCGCCCCGCTTTACTTACTATGAGCTGTTGTAAATAGCTTCGCCCCTTGCCTTATTACCTAAGGTCTCCCTCGCGTCAGTTGTGTTTCGAGCACATCCCAGCGTTGGAGTCGGCGGCGACGATCCGTCGTCCAGTTCATTCCGTGCGACAAGATGAACAACAGTTATCCTAATTCCCGTCCTCAAGTCGGCGCCACCTTCTACCCAGGTGGCGTGGATGACTTCATTATGCCTGAGGTCATCTCACCGGCTCCTCAGAGGTAGAGTAGCATACAACAAGTCACTGGTCACCTTGGCCAGCGATACGAGCAAACAAGACACACAAGTGGCTGATTTGTTGATAGGATAATGCCAGAAGTTCCCGAGAATATGCAGCACAATCTAGCAAATCTTGAACAACAAGCACAAAGACCAGCACAGTACAACGATTCGATCCCTACACAACACGACAACCAAAGGTTGCAAGGACAGTATCCAGGCCAACCAATCAATAATCAATATGAATATCAAACATATCATGGCAATGGACAAGGTCAGGGACAATATGGTGGAGGGGCTTACAACCACGGCCAGCAAACATATGGACAAACCGCTTCCTTTGAGTCGATGGAGCAGCCGAACTTCTCGCGGTTCCCATTATTACGCAACCTACCACCTAACGTACCGCCCACAGCGGAACAGAAGGAAGCGACCCTCGAAGGCGCCCGGCTACCAGTGCTAGATTCCAACGACCCTCTCAACCAACTAGATTGGGCACAGGACGCATTGGCATATGTGGAAGAGTCTATACAGAACGAGCAGCGGATGGCCACCATATCTTCAGCAGTCATCAAGCTATCTCGTGTACAGCAACTGCTAAAGGATGATGCAATCAAAGTGATAATGTTCCTCGCGGACCAGGAGCATCCCCGAGCTTTGGTTCTTAAGGGTATCTGGCTGGAGTTCGGAAAATTTGACGTCGCTATCGACAAAAGACAAGCATGGGAATGCTATAAGACAGCTGTCAGGAACGCAGCTGGGCTCAATATCAATGACCCTGCGAAGAAGTGGGGAGGCAGAGCGCAATATCGAATTGGCATGCAATTTGAGAATTCCAAGGACATTGGCAATGCACTCAAGCACTATCAGATGGGCGTCGATGTGGGAGACAGCGCAGCTTGTTATAGGTTCGGCATGATGGTGCTTCTCGGACAGCATGGGCAGATGCAGGATTTCCAACGAGGACTGAGTTTGATCTTTGTTGCTGCACAGAATGCAGACGAAAACGCGCCTCAGGGAGCATACGTTCTCGGCATGCTTCAGGCTCGCGAACTTCCCCAGGTCAGCATACCCGACCGTTTCCTGGCGAAAGACATCAATGCGGCAAGGATGAACATCGAACGTGCAGCCTTCCTTGGATTTGCCAAAGCGCAAACCAAGATGGGCAGTGCTTACGAGCTCTGTGAACTTGGCTGTGACTTCAATCCCGCTCTATCTTTGCACTACAACAACTTGGCCGCAAGACAGGGTGAGGTGGAAGCCGAGATGGCAATCAGCAAATGGTTCCTGGCTGGGCATGAAGGCATATTCGAGAAAGACGAGGAAATGGCTTTTACTTACGCGCAGAGAGCCGCACAGGATGGTTTGCCTACGGCGCAGTTCGCGATAGGATACTTCCATGAGGTAGGGATTTTTGTCGATGTCAACCTTCACGTAGCGCAGGAATGGTACAAGAAAGCAGCTGCAAATGGTAACGCAGATGCCGCAGGGAGAATTGACAGCCTCTCGCGCTCGAAGACTTTGTCAAGAAGAGACCATGAAAAATTCGCTGTCTCGAAGATCAAAGAGTCACGACTACAAAGCCCGACCGAGTCTGCACCTCCGACGCCAGCTATGCCGACAATGCTTGATATGCCTGATCCTGGGAGACTCAGCTTGATATCTCCTACGTATACTGGCTCTGACCGGCATGCACAGCAGCCTCGGCAGTCTGTCGCGCCTTACCCTGCTAACAGCGGGTTTGACCCTCCCCGGCCGGGGATGGTTAGCCAATCAAGTAATATGTCAAATCCCGAGTTCAGAGCCGGTTCTGCTTTTGGCATCAATCCAAACCTGCGCCCGTCGTCCGCCGCAACAATTGCCGGAACGTGGCCAGACCAGAATTACAAACCTGGTTTGCAGGATCAAGCAATGCCATATGCGACGTACAACAGCGTGCCTGTAGGATATGGAAGAGGAGGCAGGGCGACAACTAGTCCACACCAACTAGGGCATCCAGGTCCAGGGCGAAGTGCTCCATCTCCACAGGCTCGAATAAGCTCCCCTCAGCCGCCTTCGAAAGTTGATATAGGCTTCCTTGCGCCTCTGGAATCATCTGGTGCAGATCGTAAGAACCGGCTTCCAAGATCCGACAGTCCTGCGCCTCCAAATATACGGCAGCAGATGTCACCTAATAACCCACACTCGCCTCTAACGTCTGGTTCCCAAAGACCTTCTGGGAGGGATCCTATGCAGCAGAAGCCCGTACCTCAGCAGATCAGACCGTCTTCAGCCGCAGCCAGCAAACCTGCCCCTGCAAGCACCCCAAAGCCCGCGCCGTCTTCTAGCCAGCCAGCTGCGACTGTTCGACCACCTGGCAAAGGACCCAAGACATTCGAGGAGATGGGTGTGCCAGCAGGTAAAGGTAAGGATGATTGTGTAAGTATTGCTGATCTGGTGCTGTGGGACAGCTTGACTGATAGAGCGTATAGGTTGTTATGTGATACCCCTAAATTTTACTGTCAGAATTTCTGGATTGGATATGCATGGCGATGGTGTCAAGAGAAAGAATCTGGGCTTTATGCATGAGGGATGGATTGGATTTTCCAGCATCATCAGTTGATGAGAGCTCAGAAAGCCCCGGATTGATTCCGTGTCTACTACTTAGATGCTGCAAGATGAGGCGCTGTGTCATTTACATCACACATCACACGTCAGGTTCCCAAACGTTACAGCACTACAGCAACCTGCACCTTAACTCAATAATCTTCCGAACTACATGGTTGATGTTGCTTTTGGGTCTCTTCTGCTCTGGTTGTGCATACTACTTCGCCTTCACACATCTGCGGCTGACTAAAATCTCCTGCTGCGCTACGGCCGCCGCCGCCGCTCTTTGCATGATCGTTGAACAATGCCAAGGCTTGATATACAGAAGATGGTTCCGTGTGCAAAGATAAGGCAGAGAAAACTACGGTAGAGCAATGCATGCCGAGCTTGATAGGTCCTCATGATCTATCTGTGTACTGAATTTCGGCAGGATCATCTCTGGTCATTATATCTGCTAAGACTGCATACAGGGAAGTGGCCTACAGCTGATCCGTGGGATAGGAAATGGTAGGGGTGTGAAGGAGTAGGGTGCTGAAGGACGTCGAGTTCTTCCTACCTGAGCTTTCTCCTGCTTTTACGCAGCAGCGTCGCTTTGCTGATTTCTGGGGAGCAAAGACAGCTGGCAGGTACTGAAAATCTTTAGTGATGGGATGGAAATGGCGCCGAATACACTAGAGCAAACCCGGACATGGAAATGCATTCACGACGTTGAACGGCCTTGTACAGAGTTCGAAACATATCACTGTTGTTGACTTGTTCAAAGTCGTCTTATAGTATGGCAATTGTTCAAGCCTCGCTTTCAGTAGTACAGTAGTGAAGGTGACGCGAACTAGATCTGCCCCTCATGGCCGGGGTGGCAGTTTAATCTGTCGTATATAAAGACCCAACCGTGTAATTCATGAGCGACCACCATCTACCTTTTGGCTCTTTGAGCCAGACGCCTCTTCTCAGCATCATTAAATGGAACCATGGTGGTCTTTGTCGATCTTGACGGGGACGATGAAGAGCTGCAGGATATACAGCAATCTCTCACTCACCATGCGCTCACCTCCCAGCATTTGCAGAAGCTGAGGATCCGTGACGTTCAATCAGACTATCAACATGATTACAATAGTGGCTCGAGTGATCGCGGCAACAACCAAGCAGAGATAGTAGAGAGATGGAATCCAAACATCAATAGCTTCTCTGCTGCGCTGAGCTGCTATCCGTGAGTTTTATCGAACGTGCCTTGGGGCTTCTGCATTGTGGTCCTCCTTGCACCAGCTAACCACTCATCATCTACAGCGTCGTTAAATCTCTCTCGCATCACCTCGATCTGAACGACCTGCATTCACTCTCTCGTACCTGCCGTCAGTTCCGCTGTAACCTTCTCCAGTATCACCACCAGCTCCTCAAGCAATCCCTTCGCTGCACCCATGACTCCCAACCGCTGCTGGCGGACATCTTACATCAGAATGCGAGCACTTCTATGACAGCTGCAGAAATCACCGCTGTTCTTGAAGCCATTGACTTCGAGTTCGAAACAGTGGATGTCGATCGGAAGATTCTCACTGGTAAGATTGGAAAATGCGCAACGGATCTTGTTGCAGAGTGTAGAAGGTGTGGTGTTGTTGTCTGCAGAAATTGCGCTGTCAAGCCGCCAAGTAACAGCTTGCTGAAAGGCAGGTACAGGAGACTATGTGCTCGGTGCAAAGAGGCACCATTGTGGATGCATACATTGCCAGTGAGAGGCTCAAACTTACAGCGTTACGTGCCGAGAAGCAGTGAGGGAGTCGTTTCTATCAGTAGCTCTCCTAGGTCCTTTCAGACTTCAGTTACTGCTTCCACGACCACTACATCCACGGGAAACTCGTATCATAGTCTCACGGAGGCAGAACCGTCTTCAGCATTCACAGCTCCAGCTTTTGAGCACAGCCCGTGTACCTGTGCCACTCGAGGCGTGTACCTCTGTCAAGCGTGTGGTCAGTCTCTACGCAGTGCAGACACAACCTACCAACGCGTCTGGACATGGAGGTCACGTTACAGCACCCACATTGGTGGACTGGGGACTGGAATGGGAGAAGGTGATCAGGGTCAGAAATGTGGCAGAGGTGAGGACTGTCTTGACGCTGTAGAAAGCGAAGTGGAGACCGATTGCTCGGAACGACCGGCTTCGTTGTATCCATCCAATTCTAAAGCTACAGGATCAGACAGTGACCGGCACATTGAAGAGAGGTCGGCAGGATACCTCAGACAGGAGATCGAAGGGATTGGGGGTGTGGTGAAGAAAAAGGTCAAGCAGAGGGTCAGGATCGGAGCAACCGTGTGGGAACATGATGATGAAAGGGCTAGTGGGAAGTACTTAGAGAGAGAATCAAGTGGCAAAGAAAGGAGCTGGTGCGGCTGGTGCGGACGGGCTGTCAAGGGGCAACGGGATAGGGAGGTGCACGGCGATGATTGCTTCATGATCTAGGCATGCATTTGGAAGCACATGAACGAAAAATATAGGCTTTAGCAATGTATACGTCGCTGCCCCTGAGAAGATCTTCGTGGGTACTAATAAATTCTGGCCAAGAGATCGCCCTTCTGGTTCCAACGACCATCTCCTCCACGCCATCCTATGTATTCGACCACATCACCCGAGTGGTCCTCAGTCGAGATTATGAGCACCAAGACCGTTGTTGAACGGAACGCTAGATGGACGTTAAGGGCGTTGAGCCGCTTCTGCCAGAGTCTCGATTCCTCACATCCTGACTCCTGAAGAGCTAGACAGGCCCAGATCCTTTTTTGGAACCTAAGCCGATCGTAGCTGCGAGGCGAGCCGACGCTTGTTGGCAGCCTGGTCTTCACATATGTCTAACGCATGTATGTGCGGACTAACAGCCGCATTATGCTCATTTCTGCAAGTCATACTTGCCACTTCTGAGCTCTGACAGGGCTGATGTTGGAGATGACACTACCAACAACAGAAGAATCCAACAGAAAGATCAGCCGCCAATCACTCGCGGTCAATGTCCAGGACGAAACAGAAAATGTGCAGCGATAAGACAAAGGATTCGGCTTCCGTCAAATCGAGCCAGGATCTCGAACCCGGATCGACAACAGATCTTGGAGTGAGACAAAAACGGGTGGAATACATGGAAAGTGTGATGATTGATTGGAAGCAAAGTAAATTCCGCATCGTGAATGATCTTCCTGCATCACCTCAGACACCCTTGATTCTGCTGTAGGGCAAGTACCTGAATTCGACATGATGCAAGCGTTGAGTCAACCAATTTTGGAACACCACCAACCTTGAGGAATTGCAGCCGCATCAGACATGCGCTTTCGCACAACAAAGTGGGAAGAGGCTTGAAACCGCACACAATGCCGCCAGTCGACTGGGACTGGGACCTGCCGCCCTGTTTCCCTTGCTGGCAGTGGCATTGTTCTTGCGGGACACGAGTAGCACAGCCCCACCCCGTTATGCATTCCTTGTTCGCTGCGGGGTATCGGGGACTATCAAGCATGACGAGGGTGCCCGGAAGTCTATCTTCTTAGTCATGTTAGTCACACGCTTCAACAGAGGGAACCAACACGAGCGGAGCTGAACTGGGCTCTCGGCTGGATTGGACGGAATTTATGATGTCGGAGAGAGTCCCATATGTAAATTTCTGATACGAATTTTACCCGCGAATGCCTTTCCATCAGCATTTGCCTCAAATAACGCCCGTGATTGGATAGTAATCATGGCAGGAGTTGATGCAGGACAAAACAGATTGCGGCTGAGAGCGCTTACCTCTTATACATGATTGGTGAATCATACGGCTAATATTTTTATTTACGTAGTATGTGTAGATGCTTTTTACATCCTTCGTACTCCGTAGGTAGTAGCTACTTATCGCTGCAGGAATCGTTCCTGGGAAAGAAGCTGGGATTTGGAGCCCACGATTCGGGGAATTTTGGCGCTTCTTGGCCTTGTTTCGAGTGTGAAGATCCGCTGCAAGAAAATCTCCCTATATTCACAAATCATATCCTTAGACCAATGTTGGAACAAGTGATGCCATGTGGTGATGATCACCTTCACGATCACCATCGTGACCATCACGGGATAGGCACGGGACAGGGACGACACATGGCAATATGAGCATGTCAGTGTGGGTCGGTGACAATGAGGTAGTGATAAGCATCATCAACTAACAAATCATGCCAAGTTGCCTGTCAGAAGTTTATCTTGCCTCTTTAGGACGGGTTCCGGCATGATGACGATTATCTATGGACATGGTGGGTTTGAGCATCTGAAATGACCCATTTGCTAGAAATCATTCCAAAGCCAACCAATTATGGTATTGTGAAACCGGCACCTGTCATGAATGATAATTGAAATCCAGATTTCTTTGCACCAACAAAGAATGCTTTTTAGCAGTCAAAGCAGGCGACGAGCTACTGTGCGAGTACGGAAAACCACCTTCTCAATGGGTGCGGAGGACCCATGACCAAGCTTGAGGTGGTACAAAGGCGTTCAGGCTACCAACCAGCCACACCAAAGGTCGAAGATCACTTTGTAATTTACAGGTACGACTGGCCAAAAGCTCCAGCTACTAGTCCCATTACTCGTGGCCAAGCTGATTATCAATCTCACTGACAGCCTCTTGCAGCTTCCCGAGCAGGGGACTATGTAGCAAGAATGTAGCAAGAAGGTAATGGCTTTTCAGCTCATGCAAGAATAAGCAGATGTGGATCCTTTCATCTTATGATCCGCTGCAGAAATGTTATTGCCAATGGTTCAGATAGGTTGGCTATGTGCAGAAGGCCAAAAGGCAAGATTCGACCAGCTCAATCGCAGTGCGGACTCACCTCCGGCATGTGGTACACTCATTTTAGCTGTCCTATCGGGGCACAGTCCACCACAACCCTCATGTGTTCGAACTGGTCACAACAATACACAACTAACACTGGTCATACTCACAACTGCTTGGAATGGTTTCATGCACCATCCATCGATGGCTAATATTTCCACCGCATCGGTCAAGGGCACCTTTCTGGAAGGATGCAAGGATGTGATTTGACATCTGACCCAGCGTGCATGGGAACCATGTTGTTGGTATCAGGTTTGTTCACTGACTGGCTGCACCATGACGAACGGTCAGCGGCAACGCATATATTCTTAAATTATGCCCACAAGGCGAAGGATTGCAATCCCTTTTCCTCTATATGTCGTGGCTGGTCTGGCAGAAGCTCATTCGAGGAGTGTGGGAAGGGTAAATCCCCATCGGTCCCGCGTCTCAGCCTGCTACAAGCAAATAGTCGACCATCCGTATTGCGGCAGCATTGCACAATGCAGGAAAGGAAGGCAAGGAAGGCACGTGCCGAGACTTGAAAAGCCGGTACTACTTATTACATAGTACAATTCATCAATCGGCCACAAGAGTTTTACTACGCTACTAGTATGCTACTAGTATGCTACTAGTAGTTGCGTCCTACGAGGTTGGAATTGGTTTTACCGTCCTTTCGGCTAGATATGCCTGGTTTCTCACAATAATGCTCTAAAGCCTTACGCCTTGCCCGTTATGAGGTGGGCAGTTGCGCCTTACATACTAGTACTTAGTAGCCGGCTCAGCTGAACGAGCTCGGGCAGCAGACGATCCGTCATAGCTAGGCGTCCAAGCTCCCTGTAATCTGAAACGCCAACTTCGCAGACCTTCGGGACCTCGACTGCCACTCTAGCTTGGGAAGATCAGTTGAAGGCTGAGAAAATACACAGGTTAGCCTTCCAGTTGATGGGGAAAAGGTACGACCCCACCACTCGCATGCCTGGTTCGAGATGCCGTCAATGACGAAGATCTAACGGACAATGCAACATCTGATTGTGCTGCAGGTGCCAGGCGGAGGGGACTGTCATCGAGCCCATCAGCCTCTCCCATTGGTCAGCCTTGTCACAATATTGCAGGGGATGTGTGGAGTTAAGCGAGATGGTTCAGCCTTCAGCTGCCCACGCCTGACAGGTGTGGCTCCCAGCCGTGTACTTCCCTCCGTACCGTTCTGCGGACTGCTCCAATCCGCCAATAAAGCGGACTCTGCAATCCACGACAGCGACATTGACCACCTGTTCTGCATTACTATGTACTGATGTTGGGTTTCATCTTCGAGATGGCGTAGTGACAGCTCCTGACCACCGCGGCTTATCTAACCCAACCTGACTCCACAGTCCCGGCGCATGATGCGATGAAATTGCAGATCGAGAAGTCAGCTCAAGGCAGAAGCGTTGCTGATCCTTACTCAGACCAGCCGTTTGCTGTTTGCCTTGTGCACGGAACCGTCCTTACCATACTAGCAGCTCTGTTACTGCAGGGTATGTGGATGATTAGGCCCGCGCACTAGACCAGATGAACAATGGTGGCACCCAGAAATAGAGCTGCAATATCTCTGATATGCAAGCCACCTCCGCGCAGCCAACCACCGCTCGTGCCTTTTCACACCATCCTCGCTGGCTCGAGGGGTCAAGCGTGTGCGTTTGATCTTTAGGACATGCATGAAAGGACCGAGTTGAGGCTATTTCTACCTGCTCGGGAAGATGGTCGACGACGCCGCTGAACCCACCAACAACACGCCGCATCCCCCCAGCCAACATTGTACTACATAGGTCATTTTGATATAGTGATACTGGGTGAGCCAATCCACTCCCCTGGCGTATCCCATGTCCGCTCGCCCCGGCCTGCGGCACAACCATCGCTTGTGCAGTAACCCTGCAAGATGGCTTGGGAAAACGTGCCACTAAATCTCACCACCGGATTACTATTTCGATCTCCACAACGACTGACCTGCGCAAATCGCATGCCCCTCCCAGTACCAACACAGCCCACTCTGACCAATGGTTATTTTCGACAAATGACATTATGTCTTGAGCAGCTAATGCAGGTCGCTCTCCTCAGAGCTTTGGCCTTGTTAGTCCGTTACAGACAGATCCCTAGCTTCCACCCTGGCATGCTCAATGAATCCTTCGAGCGAACTTTTCCACACGTTGAGACAAATACTGATTACATCCACAGTGGACATTTTTGTCTCACAAACTCATGCAGGAACTTCTATCGCAGCTTGCGCCCACTCCAGATTTAGTTCCTAGTTCCCCCCCCTCCCCTCTCTTTGTTCTATACCTTCCACTTCTTCTATCCATTCTTCTCTTGCGTTAAGCGCGCAGACCACCAGCCTTGACTAGGTTGACTGAGGCTCAGCACCCTACTTAGAAGTCAGTGTTGGGGCTAAGAAAGAGCTCCGATTCAAGTCGCAGAGAGCATTCCTTGTTCCATCTTGAAACACCTCTTATCCTCCCCTCTTCGTTCGTCATATATCATATCGCAAGATCCCGCAGGATGGACTTGATGAACAGCAGTTCTCACAGCCCACAACAATCTGTCGAAGTCAGGCCAGCTATACAACGACAAAGCTCAACCTCCTCAAGTGGATCGGGCGAGTCATCCCATACTCGACCGCGCAAAGCTATCCGGTCATCACGACAACGCACCTCAGGCTCAGGCGCCCAAGGTCCCGAAGACGAGCAGAGTGGGTCGCGTCGCGGTAGCATATCCAGTATGCGGACTTCCTCAGCACCTCTCGAGGGCCCCATTACCTACACGCCAACAACGCATCGCATCAGCAAAGCGAAGAAGGGGAAACGTGTGCATGCGTGCGAATACCCTGGCTGCAACAAGGTATGTCTGATGTGATCTTATGCGCCTGCTGCGCTGACGGAGCTCTAGATCTTTACCCGTGCCGAGCATAGAAGGCGACATGAGCTGAACCATAGCCCAGAGGCATCTTATCCTTGCGATCGCGCAGGATGCCGGAAAGCTTTTCACCGACCAGATTTGCTGCAACGTCACCAGGAGAGGCATGAGCTGGAGGCGCAGACAGAGGGTGGGGTTATCGGCCACCGCCGGCTTCCAAGTGACCAGTCATCGGCCTCAGTAGGCCATTCTCTCATCACTTCAACGTCGATGACCAGTCCTATGGTGTCAGTGCAAGCATCAAGTAACGGACTCTCCATCCCATCCTTACTTCATCCACAATCAAGTGAAGGCTACAGCCACAGTCAACACAGCAGCACCTTCGACTTTCCACGCGCCCCTTTTCCAATGTATACTTCTAGCATCAGTGCCCCCGACGACTTTATCTATTCGTCACCCGAGAGCAGCCAATCACCTCTCTCCGACCATTATGGCTTCCCACACCGAAACAGCATGTCTTCTTCCTCTTCTGTGGTGGACTTTGTACCACCAAACTGCGCCTCACCACTTGTTAACACTACTGCGTCCGGATGGGCACCTGTATTACCACCTAGTGCGCTTCCTTCTAATTGTAGTTCTTTGGAGGATGATATCGGCGGCTTCTCTTCTGTAAGTCTCCTTGTCGATTTTGCACCCCTTGTGCTGAGGCTGATTAGTCATCTGCAGGGGCTCCCTTACCAGTACCCATCTCCCAGCTGGACCGGCATGAGTGGCTTGTCCTTCAACGAGAGCTGGCATCAGCCTCGGGAGCTGTCCAAGTCGACCACGGTGGATTGGAGATATTCGACATTGTAAAATGGCAGGACGACAGTCTCGATTGCTATTGGCGACATTTTCACCCTTTCTTTCCAATTGTACATCAACCCACTTTTTCTGCGACTTCTAGCGATTTGATGACAGCCGTTATGGTAGCGATAAGCTCTCAGTATGATACCCAGACGAATGCAAAAGACTATTCTCTCGCTTTACTTGAAGCTTGTACCAGATCATTAGCAAAAGTGAATTTCCTCCTCATGATTCCATACTAAGGAGTCCCCTGCTGGCGTCCAGGCGCTGATTGTGATGGCAGAGAGATAAAATCCACAGCCGGTCGCGTCTTAGTGACTTGCAAACCGTGTTTCTGCTCGAAGTCCTGATGAAGTTCAGGTCTCGAAAGGCAGAGACCGGCCTCTCTCCTCGATTTCGTGCTCTGTTTGCAAGTGTGAGTGCAACCATTACACAAGCAAGAGGACGCCCACTAATGCACCTCCCAAGCTTAATCACACCGGCTCTCGTTATTGGATTTCAAACAATCCCATCACTGTACTCAAGGGTCTCTCGAAATCACCCTCCGCGGCAGACTTGCAGCAAGCTCATTCATTTTGGCTTAATCGTGAGACGCGCCGAAGACTTCTTCTTGGCTCATTTATCCTCGACACCCAGCTAGCTGCACTATTTGAACAACAGTCTGTGCTATTCCCTAGATGGCCCGGCGAGACGATCTCCGCTCATGTTTCAAACTTGCCCTACCCCTGCGACAATGAGTTGTGGGAATGCGCAACCGTCGAAGAGTGGGCTGGGCTCGCAACCTCTTTCCAGCAGATCACCCTTTCAGACGCAGCAGATCCGACCATTTATGACCGTTCGAGCGCGTTGGACTCCTTCCGCGCAAGACTGATCTTCACTCATCTTGTCAACTGTCCATCACACGGCAACACTGACTCAGGTACTGAGCTGGGCAAATTGTGTGAGACCCTAGCGCGATATGATCTCTCGGGCCAACATGTTCCCACAATATTCGATATCCACGCCCATACCACGGCACAGCACACGCCAATTCGAAGCCTCCTGATCGTCAGCGGCGAATCATGGCTTTTCGGCAAGAAGCTAGAACACGAAGAAGATTTCGCTGCCGCGAAAGCACATCTTCGCGAGTGGGTAGACTCCAACAAGTCACAGACAGCGCTGTGGCATGCTACCGCATTGTTGAGAATGGTCTTGGACGTTAGGCCCAACACCCCTCTCCAGCCGGTCCATGGGACCAGCAACCAGGGTTGGGAGATGGGAATGCTACACGAGCAGTGGTGTATTTACATTGCCGCACTGGTGTGCTGGGCTTGCACATTCGATGCGTCAGCTTCCTCGGCACCTCTTTCCGGATTATCAATCTCTTCTACTCCTCCCGCCATCTCAGGAGCGTCCTCCCCATACATAGCTACGTCAACTCCCACGGGCTATCCGGCCCTGATGGAGCCGGTTGAAGCAGGCGTAGAAATGTGCACCTTCCTCCAAGCCACAGACGTCGACGACTTGAACCTTCTCCCCGCTGTCCTCGACAAAGTGAGGGGCCAGACGAGAGGCTTGCTTGAAGTAGTCCGAAATGGGAAACTCAATGGCTCTTTAGGAGGCTTAATCAATGAGGCAAGTGGTGTTTTGTACAGACTGGTCGAGGGGCGGAGTCAGCTTTCGCATTTCTAAGTTGTCTAATCTGGTACTTCGAGTCACATTTTTAGGGGGGCATTTTAATTCTAGGCTTGTATGAATATTCTAGAAGACTTGAACTGATAGAGTTATTAGTGCTTCTGATTGTAACTGATCCGGATCTTCTTCCTCGTGCTGAGGAAACCCTGAAGTCTCTTTGAGATCCGGAATGATGATGTAATTTCTTCTCGGGAACATCCGCTTCCCTGATGGTAGGAGGATCTGAGTACTGCTCTCTTCCCCTTCTGATAGTCCTGAAAAAGTCACACTAACTCGTTTTGGTGAAAGCGCTGGCCATATCGTTGTCGACTGGAGGGATGTATTTTCGGGTTTAAAATGATGCCACTATCCCGCTTGTGGCATAAGTGTTAGATACATGATGTCTTGATCATACGAAAGGATGCGCCATCACCCCCTCAATCAGCATGGGGGACTTTCAAAGAGAGGGGGGGGAAACTGCGGGGTTGTGAAATCGAAGATCCATTGGAGCCTCAGCCAAGCCAACCAGCTGGATCCTTTAGCCAGCTCCCTTGCACCGGCTTCCCGTTTGGGCTGTCATACTGTAGTACCAAGGCGGAAGTATTTATAGCTCGGCCTTGGTATTTGAGCTTTAAACGGCAACCGAACGAGACCACTAGGCTTATCATGCTCTAGCAGTGTCTGTTGACGTCCAAAAGTGTAAGTCAGTGGGCAGTGTATCAAGAAATCAGCCGTTCTTGATGCAGGGTACGGAGTACAGGGCTGTGCGATATCTTGGCTTGTGCAACACTTTCAAGTTCTACCCCATCTAATCGTTCAACGACCTGCATCAAGGTGGAGGTTACACTGAAATCCTTTTTTCACATTTTTAGAATCATCATGAGAACCTTTCCCCTGGGTTTGATCCATCGCAAGTGCACAACTACCAACATACATCGGCAATAATAAAATAGATAAAATTCACAACTGGAAACATAGTTGAGGGTACTGCTTCCGGGACCTATCAGGGCATGTGTTTCTACCCTACGTTAGCACGGAGCTACGAGTACTTCTGTCTGTTACCATACTCGATGCCGCCGGAAATTGGGTTCTTTCCTATACAAGTTTAGACTCTCGACATTATTCTCATAGACTTCAATATTTCTACTGTCAATAAGCAAATCAAACATGACAGATCTCAAAAAGATGTATCACATACACTGTCCAAATCTGAACTAAATCTATCATGTCGACAATTTATGAGAGGATGATTATTATTGCAGCAGATGGCCACAACTGACTAAGCCAAGCCAAGACTACTAGCGGTAGTATCTCCTACGTACAGTACTAGTGCAAAAGTATCTGACCAACCCTACTTTCGTACCCCACCAACATTATCGACTCTCTTCATACAAATCACCATAGTAAGATATGAACTCTTTGGATTCTAATGAAAAATAGCTCAAAATGTTCACTGATATTCAGAGATTGAGGCTGGCCTAATTTCCTAAATAGGCAGTCGATATTCAGACGTTCAAAGCATACTATTCAGATGAACTCAAAGGCTGCTAGCGAAGGATACAAGATATATAGCCTTTGTTGCTCTAACGGCTATATAGTCGATTTCAGATTCAGCAGTGCTATAGAGAAGGTAGCTGAATTAGGAGGATATCCTGAGTTCTCTCAAAGTAAGGCTATTATGCTAGATCTTGCAGAGTCGCTTTTAGCCCGATTTCCGCGCCCTAGGCCATTTTACGTTCTACATCTGGATAACTTCTTTACTACTCGCAAGCTCTATCAACGACTCTACGAACTCGGAATTGGAGCAAATGGCACTGCTAAAGCAGGGTCTGGTATACCTAAAGAGCTAGCGTATCTTCATGATATAATAACGAAGCAGAATGACCACGGAGAGTGGTTTAATTACGTTGTCAGCAGCGTTAATTGTATCGCATTTTGCGATTCAGCTTCTAAGGCAATGATGACTACTATTCACGATCCTACTATGGAGGAATACACCTATTTCAAGAGAATCAAACGCCCTAAGGCCTCTTTGAAGTATGCCGTGGATGCAGAAACTGCAAATGCTGCAAATTCTGCAAATGCTATGAAATTTGTTCATCCTGCGCCTTCTACGAATTCTACGCCTCCTGCGCTAACTATATAAAGGACTATAGAGTAAATGACGATTAAGGAGACAGTATACTCAAAGTGAGCTCCAGGGGCTCTATGTGACCGCAGAAAGGAGTCAATAAAGGAGAACAGTGAAGTCAGATGACTTAAGAGCGCATCGCCTGCGAGTCGCATGCGACCAGGGAGAATTAGGCTAGCAGGTTAGTCTGAAGGATGAAGCGAATAGCCTGGGTCGCTCCTTTATGGCTATTAAGGAGCTTCCGCATGTCGGAGAACAGGTGGTCGCTTAAGACGCGTCTCCGGAGCTGAGACCATGTAGGGCAGGAGAGGAGGACGTGCTGCACTGTCATGGTCCCTAACCCGCACCCGCAGCGAGGGCTAGGCACAGAGGGTACTCGGCGTTTAAAGAGGAAGGCATTGAATCCGATTACTCCAGTCCTAAGCTGGGTTAGCAGGGCACTATGTGCTTTTGGTCGGCCAGCATGAAGCCTGCGATTCGCAGGAGAAACGCAGGGGGAGAGCTTAGCGATTCCGCAGGTTTGCACTCTGTTTTCCCAGGACCAGTCCCAGCGCTCCTGGACTCTTCTTTTCGTAATCCTTTTGATTGCAGAGAGGAAGCGAGTCGTAGGCTCTTGGAGGGGGCCTATCCCATGCGCCGGCAATTAAAAGTGCCTTTTTAGCGTGCCAAGCATTTTGAGTCTTGGCATGTCTCTTTTCGACTTTTTGATGAATCTCACCATTGAGATCGATTTCTAACATGGATTTACGCAGATCGAAACGCATACCAAAGCCCAAAACTATCTGGGAGGCAAAAGGAGCTCCTAGTGCAGCTAGCGATCCAAAAGTTACGAAGAATACTGCTCGAACAGAGCAATGAACAGCGCTCAAACCCATCGCTACGGGGCCGCTTCCAAAAGCGCTCAAAATAGACAAAAATCAACTTCCTGAGCTCCCTAATTATGAACCACCCCTTATTCTATAATTTTAATGGTCTAAATCGCTAGCTACAGGTCTCTCACAGCTTGATACGTTTCAACGACTTCTTACGCCAGCTATTATTGATAGAATCATTGAATCAACGAATAGCTATACAGAAAAGGCTTGAAATATGGATTTTAACGAAGAAGAAGATGCTGAATGTCTTTCTAGACTCTAGAAACCAGTCAATTTAACTGACATTTAGCGATACATTGGTTGTTAGCTTTATATAGGATATTATAGGCTATCCAAACATAAAGAACATTAGAGCGAGTCAGGTTATCTAGGCGCATTCTTAGGTCTAAAAAGATATAAGCAAATTCATTAATATTTTACGCTTCAAGAGCGTACAACTGCTCCTTATAAGGATCACAAGACCTTTGTGTGACAAGTAGAGCTAATTAGTGCTATTATTAAGCAAAATTGCAAGGATAATTAGTAACTAAGCTCTTATCTAGCTATGGATGAGGCAATGCTTACTTATAGAGGTCGCAGCTCTTATAAAGTTAAGCTGCTAAATAAGCTAATTAAGGAGGGCTACAAGGTTTAAGTATTCAGCAACGCTAGATATGTGTATAACTGGCTATAGCATAGTTGTCTTAATAGACCTAAAGCTATTCCTTAAGAAGGTATAGAAGTCGATTAAGTTATTAAAAAAGAGCTTACAAAGCTTAATATAATATATCTTGTACTAACGTTTGCCTTTATTACTCGTCTTATATAGCATTTATATTAAATGTATCTAATATATGTTTTTTGCTTCTTTTTGAATAATCTGTTTCTAAATATTAATATTGTGTAAGCACTCCTTGCTTTACGTATTTGCTATATTAGTATTACTTGCAAAAACGCTTAAGAAGTTCTTATATAGATCTTGAAATTAAAAAAGTATAATTATAGCCTTGTTTAGAATTCTATATTTATAAAAGTTATTAATAATACGCTTGTTTTTCTATAGCAGAATAATAATGCTATAATAAGCTATATAACTATTTACCCTCTTAAAAATAACACGGTTTTATAACTTTATAAAAGGCCCTCTTTTATATTAATTAATACTTAAATTATAAACCCTGTTTTTAATAACCTACTTTTTAAATAACTTTATATCCTTTATATTATTAATAATTATAACTACTATATAAATAGTATTAATCAAAGTAATTAATTATAAAAGAATTTCACAGCTTATTAATTATATAAATATCACGTTTAGCGCCCTTTGTAATATTATATTCTGAATATCTATGCGGTTAATAGTTACCTAATCTAGAAGAAGGGTACTACAAATACTTCCGAAAAAGGCGTTGTGACAGATACTTTCAAAAGAGGACAACGCCCCTTTCAGAAAGCGCTTATTGACGCTCTACTCAAAACACCCTATTCAGAGCCTACTAGGAGTAGGAGAGAGTACAAGCTCCCTCTACCAAATCGAGATACGCAGGACCATCGTTGGCAAGCATTTCCGAAGCGGGGACTCTGTATATAGTGTCGAAAGGTTGCTCAGAAGTCAAAATCGAAGAATATTGATACAAGGAGGCCGATTTTGGCCGAAATCGTCAATTCTAATGCCCCTTCGCGTCGAATGAGGCCATACGGAGGCTGTATAGCATGTAACGTACATCTCTGTCTCCAAGGAGCCTGCTTTAAGCAGTATCATAGTCAATAATAACCCAATAACTGCTTGCTGTTGCTTTCTACTCAATTTTGGTAGTGCCAAGATATTTTGGCGCTAAAAAGGCACTTTTAATTGCCGGCGCATGGGATAGCCCTTGCTGCTTTGTCAGCGTAGTCGTCCGCTATTTCGTTGCCCCTAATCCCTTTATGTCCAGGTAGTCATCGAATAATACCTTTATCTTTAAGGATTTAATATATAATTACTTAATAAATATTAATACTAATTTCAGACTTAATTTCTTAATAAGTAGCCTTTAGATTAATATAAATAAAATATAAAATATTATGTTTTAAACCTTATTCAAGGTCTAAGAGCGTTCTAAACAAGGCAAGCTTTTGCCTTAGTTGCACAGTAGATTTTGAATAAGGGTGTTGAAAACAGTAGCTTTGCTGCATTACAAATTTTGACTAATCTTTTGATTTGACAACCCTATAGCTTTGTACGCTGAAATTTGGCCTCGTTGGTATGGAGATAACTCCTTGCCATAGCTCCTGTTAATTTCAAGAGGCGCCAGAGCCTTGCGTTGAGCCATGGTAGTTGTTTGAAAAAGGGTGTAAAAAAACGCGTGTTCAAAAATAACGCGGGTGTAGTAAGTAGAATCTCTAGCTTAGAGAAACAAGGCAGCCTTGACAACACACACACTCCGCGCTCATAGGCATTCCACCTCACCAATTATTGTTTATGGCCATTTTGATTTGAGCTCGGCATCCTTACGTACTATACCATCTAAGGAAGGGTCTGTCACGCTAGAACGTATTTGTCAGCGGCACTGAGTAGTACCTGGCGGTTACCCAAAGCGGACCATACTCTGGCTCCCATGAGGGGTAATACTGTATCTCCCTGAAATTGGAAACCGCAAGCAACCAGGCCAATATCTATACTATATAACGGCGATGCTCCTCTTGTCATGATTTCTCTTGCTCTACACACTCTTCATGATAACATATCGCTTGAATGATCACACAAAATCTTAGGCATCGAACAGAAGTCGTCCAGCCTGGGCGGGTGAGGACCACAAACACTTTTCCAGGAGCTGGTTGACTGATAATGATCCCCAGCATTGAAAACTGGTTGTCTATTCCGGAAAACACAATCTTTTGCTCGAAACAAAGATCCACAGCTCTAAGATCGTGATGCCTCAGCATTTACCGCCATGGGACGATTCGGGATTTGGCCAGTTCATGGAGCATGGAGAAAAGTTCTGCTCTATCACTGTATGCATTTCGATATGCAATCGATTGATGGACAGAAGGCTTGCGATCCTACTCATGCTACAAACATGAGCTGCGATACCATAGAGCCCGACCAAGACATTGCTTCCTGGTCAGTCACTTGGCTAGAGCCATGGGACGATTCGGGATCTGGCCAGTTCATCGAGTATGGAAGAAAGGTCTGCTCTATCACTGTATGCATGTCGATATGCAATCGATTGATAGGCAGAAGGCTTACAATCCTACTCATGCTACAAAAATGAGCTGCGATACCATAGAACCTGACCAAGACAATCCTTCCTGGTCAGCCACTTTGCTAGAGCCCTTGGCCCACAACTCCCTGCGCCTGGACGAACAAATGTCTACACACGTCGGAGCAACAAGCGTCACTAAGGATTTTGGCACCGGGAAGCACAATACTTCTACAGGGGACCACGACACATTCGGACCAAAGGATACTGGCAGCAAGTTATCTTGCATGACTGGATCTATAATCGAAGCTTCACATAACCTATCAGCGGACGGCAAAGTCTCACCCATTTCGCTTGCAATAGGAGGGCCATCGCCATCATCTGTCGCAGGAAATCAGCCACTTTACTTAGGTTGGGAGAATCATTGTGGTTCGTCCTTTCAAGGATTCGAGACTTTAGGCCTACGTAGTAACCCATGGCACATGCACATGGAGGTGGAAGGAGGTAAGACTCTACCAGGTGGTGAGAAGGGAAGGGCATTAACTGTACAACACAGCGAGGCCATACCTTCCATAAGGAGTGAATGCTCAAAACCCGTCCCTCTGTTGTCGGCCGGCCAGCTCGTCTTCGATGCGAATATGCTGCCCCTAAGTACAAGAAAATTGAGAAAGAAGACCAGGGCCGAGCGTGAAGCTTCTCAGACGTTGCGGAACTCGGGAGGGGCATGCCCACAACACAAGGCTGCCAAGAAGGCGGTAATCCATACCAGTTATATGACCAAAGGTTTACATTGCATGCTGACTGCCATGTTTAGTGTCGGTGCTTTGGCTTGGAAGGCCAAGCTGATCCTCAGGGGTCTGCTGCGAGAAGAGCAGCAAATCGAGATGGACTCAATGGAGCAATGAGCGAATCCACAAACCAATCAAACATCTTGGCATCCTCTGATGACATGGGCCTGCTGGATATGCCTGAGAACCTTGGAGCCGTTGATGAGACTTTGGAACGTCCGGGTCTCAAGCAAGTAAGCTGTTTGCATTCAACAACCTCTGCAACCGATGCTGATTTCCCCTCCTTCTACAGGTGTGGCCTGCCTCTAACATGGCAGATCCCCTGAAGCGAGTCTTGATCTTCAGTTGCCCATATGTCTTTGCGCCATGCTCCTTTCGGACGACGCAAATGGGAGAATGGACGGACCATCTCGTTGTTGCCCACAGCGAGCGACTCGACTCTGTAGCTCGAACATAGCCCGATCTTATATCCGGAGGTGATAGAGCCTGGCAGTTCCATCTGTGAGTGAAGCGAAAGCTGGCACTTCTTGAGATGGCTCCTGTTACCACATCGCTTAAGGATCATTTGGACGTCTGTGGTGGGCAAGCTGAGTGACAGTACGAGATTCGCCCAACAATTGGGGTTATTTAGACCTCTAGATACTTTCAATCCACATCTACTCTACAGATTAATAAACATTCCCCCATATGCATCGTCCAGGTTTGTTGACTTCTTCATCCGATCATGGTTTCCATTTAGGAGGTCGTCCGAGGTTTTCGGCCAAGACCAAGAGCTGCCTGGTCCGAAATCTCGATCTTACGGCATCGATCTGAATAGGTAGCAAATGACCTCAAAGACGCAAATAGCAACCATTACGCAAATGTAACACCGCATCCACGTACTCGCAAAGACACGTATTCCCCCACTCTCTTCCTCCCACTTTATGCCAGTCATCGTGTCAGCATGTTCTTCTTACTTCATCAGCCACATGCATGTTCGACATTGATCGCTTTCGTGCATTAGTCCTGGACTCTTCCTCGCCCACGCTGTTACCGGAGTGGCTGGAATTCGCTTCTGAAACTGTCAGCTAGCCGCCTCAGGTCAGCAGGGAAGCTCTCGTCGGTCTTGAAGTCGATCATAGGATCGTTTGACCTGCTTGCCAAGCTGCGCCATCCGGGGTAATAAGCGAAAGCTGGGTGGGTGCTGGGGTAGAGCTCGAAAGTAGAGCTTTGGACGGGCTTCGTATCGATGAGGGAAGTCGAAGAGAAGCGATGCTGCTGCTCCAGCCGTGTACGTGAATAGGTTCTATCAAAGAGCGATGTTTCCCGGGACACATTCCGTCATTGTTCGGGTCCCCAACTACTCATATAACTCTGCGTCGACTCCCACTTCAAGAAGCAGCTTTCGAAACCTGAGCATCAGTCTTACAGTATCCAGCACTGTCTGAATCTTGGAAATCTACCCAACATGCAAGCTGTCAAGCTCATACTCTTGTTCATCGGCCTTGCCATGGCGACACCAATTGATAACCCTCTCCTTGTGAGAAGCCACCCATCCCCAGCAACCTCCAACTAAAGAGGTATCCCTCCATGACCACGAGAACCAATTACTGACCTCCTCTACAGGACAAAAGATCATGCGTCCGTACGTAAATCACCCCTTACCCGCATCTCAGAGCGTCTTCGCTGCCCGCGAGGCATACATACTTGCGTTTCTCTAGCCTGCCAGCCACTCAGCCTGAAGTCCTCTTATGAACGCTTAGTACTGACGAAGAGATCTCACAATAGCCTGTGTACCATACTGCTGCAAACAAGCAGGCTGCAACGGGTCTCTACACTGCAGTGGATCATACGTAAGAAGCCCTCCTCCTCTTCTCCACTCCTACAGTCCCGTCCCAGCACTTCCAACAGCATTCACTATTCATGTATTTCACAAAAGAAGCTTCTGATTCATCTTCCCCCCCTGCTCTACTTCCAGCTTCCCAACTCTTTCATACTTGCCCATCGGTCCAGCCAAATACCGAACCACAAGCTCCCCATCCACAAATGCCCGAGTCGGTGAACCTGACCTCTTCTCCTCCTCCCCTTACCCCTTTCTCAATCAAAACGTGTTTACCTGCCCCAGCATTGATTGAATCTCCGTCCAACTAACTACGTCGTTCAATACACGAAAAAAACAGTGCTACACAGACCCAAAAGGCTATTCTCACTGCAAATGTGTCTGTCGATACGGGTAGGGAAGGACGCCAAAATGAAATACCCCAAGGATGGACTCAGCGTTCCCCGATGGCCGAAACAACCATGACGGGAGCATGAGCCTAGCATCAATCCAATGTGCGAGGATGATAGCAGGCAGGCAGGCAGGCAGGCAGGGCAGGAGCATATTACCCCCCTTGACGTGTCAACGGAGGTAGTCATATCGAACACAGTCTTGTCAAGTACATTGGAAGCTAAAATTCCTTGAGAAAAGAAAAAGAAAAATAAGCCCTCACCAACTTTGATCATTTTTTTCTTCTTCTTCCAAATCCCACAAAAGATTCAAAGCTTTGTTCTTGTTAGTTCTGGTCCCTTATGTCTAGGAATAGGTACTTATCGCATAACAGCTTGTCGCACAATAATCTGTATTATTATACCTCGTTTTACAACGGCATGTAGCATGACAACCAGCAGTACAACAGCTTGTCGCATAACGATCTGCATTACTACAACTTATTCTATAATGGTATACATTACTACAACTCATTAAAATCATGTATTGTTGTCTGATTTGATATGTCTAACGTAATAGTAGAGACGAGAAGTAAAGAGTTGATGTTCTTAGTTATATTAATGTATATAGATGACGACGACGTCTCGACAACGTTTTCATTTCTGTCCGTAATCCCGTCAGGTATAGAATTTGAATCATTCGAATTGATTGAGGAAGAAATTGATTATACATGTATCGTGAGGTCTTACAGTTTCGTCGTCTCATCACTAAACTTGAATTCTTACTTATAACATGAATTAGTTTCCGTATCTGAATCGCGAGGGTTTTATCCCTACCAATCAGACAAGTATTGCAGAAAGCAATCAACAGGATCTCAACAGTAAATACTCTCAGCAGATCACAACCCTTCATTGAGTCAATCAAAGACGCTGCTACAAGACAGCATCTTCTTGACAAGTTTTCAAATACTGAAGAGTGCTATTCTGTCAAAAGCAAATGCTGATTTAGTGGCCAATGCACGATCGGGAAAAAGACGTCCAAGACGACAATTACCGAATGAGGGCAAGATATCGAGCGCAGTTGCGGAGACAATGACGGCCGAGATAGCTGAGAAGGAAGCCCAAGGGGAAATCAAAAGGGGGCCGGAGCTAGGTGCCGAATTATTGATAGTTATCCGCAACGGCTCGTACCTTCAACGCTCCTCTCTTATTAGTCCTATACGTTATAGACGCAGGCGGCTGCAAGCCCTCTAGGTTCACAGCGTTTCGAGACCGCGACCTCGTGAACGACTGGGGACGATTTGTTGCTCTTTCCAAAGTTAGTCTGGATCTGGAATATCTGACTAGCTGCCTCCTCCACCTGCGTCTAGCAAGAGGATTCTCTAGGAGCCTCAAATTTCCCTTGCGATAAGGCTTTGTTCCTTTTTACCCAAGAATGTATCCCCCACACATCCATTCGACATCTGCTGTGGTAGGAAGGAGATCGATTAAGATGCCGTTGAAGCCGTCAGCTGTTCCTGGCTAAGCCCGGCAATCTCAAACATTCTGATCAATTGTGCCACCGCTGCCGACAGCGCGTAACGCAACACGATTGGCCAAGTGTCATTGACAGCAATAAAGAGAAGCGAGGAGAAGATCATCGTGCCCACGAAAAGATGTATTACAACTAGAACCGGTAGCGCTGCGTCAAGGACATATCCTAGGAACGTCTCGTTGTCATATGAAATGTGGTATCTTTGACGCATGATACAGAGTCGGGTTTCGAAGATAAAGAGCCTAGTTAGTGATTTGTAGGTCTTTTTGTGAGGATTTTGACTTTTCTTCTGCTGGTTGATGTCACCAAGTGAGGAAGCGTTATCGAGATAATTTCGTTCTTTTTTTGAAATTAAGCGAAGCCTGATCATGGCGCAAACGTGAATAAAAAGAGACAAAATGATCCATATTAAGGGAAGATACGATTGTTCCTTCTTCCACGACGGTATTGTCTTCAAACCTAACTCAAGGGAAGCCGCAAGTACGTTGATACTGGCAGCAAGGGCTAGTAGATATTGTAGGAGACTGATCGAGACATGGATCCAGAAGGACGAGAGGATACGTGGAAGCGTTCTAAATGGTTGCTTTAAGTTTCTGAGTGAATCCTGATGGTCAGAAGCCCGAAAAGGATAGAAAGCTGGCGCTCCAATAGCGAGCAACCAAGAAAGAAACGGGCGCTCAACTAAGAGCGTTGAGGCCTCCGTTAGACTAGGACCCAAGGATGAGATGAGACTAGGCATCAGCCCTAACATCACTCCTGCGCTGGCCATATTGGCCTTGATTGTCTCCGTAGTATTTGCCAAAATGCAGTCGGCGTGATGGGCGATGCTAAACTTCGGTACAGACGAATCAGAACGGGGATTTTTGTATTGTTGAAATGTCTCGTTACAGGTGATTGTCGATGACTCTTCGAAGTGGTGTGCGTATGTGCCAAACCAAGCCTCAAATTTGTGTCTTGAGAAAGTGTTTGACGCAAAGGAGTTATAGCTCAGGGAAGACAAAACAAAGGTAAAACCAAACGCAAGTTTCTTTCTCATCACTAATAAAGACTTAGTGTTCCAGAAGTTGATAATTGAGATATCATGAGCTTAAAAGACTGTGTAAGGCTGGTCTTTGATGCAAAGGCATCTAGATCATTGAGCTTCCCTTCTGGATAGATCAAGAGAAAAGGACATGAAGAAGAGGAAGGTGGCGTTTTGCTTGCATGTCCAAATTTAAACGAAGTTCTCTCTTGTAGATCGTTTTCAATCAAGGAGCTATTGACAGATTTTGTTCCGTCGGAAACCCAGAGTTGAGCCCTCGGCTATCGCTTACTACTTTCTGTTGTTTCGCATAAGACTTGTGACCTACAAGCCGAAGCCATAGCCACCTAGTGCTGCAAAACTGAGACAGATATTCATTAACCGATTCCAGAAGATAAGCTGATGGAGTCAGAAGTTGCAAATTAGAGCGAATACCTTGGCCGGAGAGCTGATTTCCTTTTTCTTCAACTTGCATATTATGCTCCAAGTTGAGGACAATCATTGTCCTCCTTCGCATTATGTTGATCCTGTATCTTATGAACCGCCGACAGCTCATTTATTCTTATACGTTGCCTCCGCAACCCACCCAGTATTTTTCTTCCAGTCTGTTAGAACATCATTTTTTGCAAGTAGGATTTAGGTCGTAAGTGATAACGTGAAAGAAGCAATAGATTTATTGATTTGTCGTTCTTGTTGACAGCTCTATTTAGTTTCA